AAAAATTTTTTTTTTCCCCAAGAGTTTCTTTCCCTGGTTGGGTCTCTGGAGATGCAAAAAGAAATATATATAATTTTCGGGAGGGGGTTTTTTAATTGGAATTAAACCCCCTTTTGGGAAATTTAGGAATTAAAACCCAAGGAATTTTTTTTTTATTTTTGGAAAAAAAAAAGGAAAAAAAAAAAAATTTTGAAAGGGGGGGTTTTTTTTTAAAACCAAAAAAAGGGGTTAAAATAGATTTCCCAATTTTTTTTTTTTTTTTTTTTTTTTTTTTTTTTTCCCCTTTTTTTTTCCTTTTTTTTTTTTTTTTTTTTTTGTTTTTATAATTTTGTTTCATTTTTCTTTTTTTTTAAGAATTTTTGTGTGTATAAAAAATACTGGTGTCAACTTTTTTTTTAATTTTAACTATTACATTATTTATTTTTATTCATGTTGATTAAAAAGAAATTCAGTGTAAAATAGATCATGATCCATTGATAAGTGCTATGTAGATTTAAAAGATATAATATTGTTTTAAAATACAACAGAAATAAAGCAAAAAAAAAAAAAAAAAATTCAAACGAAAGGTTTTATCACATCTCACAACACAGCATACCAATGCCTAATATTTCAAAAAAAAAAAAAAAAACTCAACTTTTCAAAGTTTATTCGAATAATTGGTGATCTACAAATCAAAATATAACCATATCCTCGATTCCATCAACTCTTCGATTGTAGACAATAATATTCAGAGATTCATAAACCAATCCAACAGACTAAACCATCATCAGTGTATACACTAAAAATGAAAACCCTATAAATAATTTAAATAAATAAAAATTTTAAAAAATACAAAAAATATAAAAAACTTTTTTTATTTTTATTTTTATTTTTATTTTTATTTTTATTTTTATTTTTATTTTATTTATTTATAATTTCGTTTGGTTTCTTTATGGTTATAAAAACAAAAAATATTATTGAAATAAATAATTGTTATTATAACCATTTTAAATGGACAGATTTCATAACCATTTGAAACTTATTGATTCTGTAAAATATAATTATAGTTTCTTTTTATTATTACATTAATTTACATTTTATATAATAGTATTTAAACTGATTATTGACTTTGAGTTTTAATTGTGCTAATTGCGAACAAAAATAATTTTGGTTATATATTATTGTATTGACCCTTCCTACTTAGGTTGTAACGATATTACATATTATATTTGTTTTTTAAAATCTTTTTTTTTTTTTTTTGTATCGAAAACATTTTTGATTATTATTATAATCATTATTTATTTATTTTGAAATTAACTATCTTTAAATTTCGCTAAAAAATAAAAAAATAAATAAAAAAATGAATTTTTTAATCCCTATATGTTAATCCCTGGTTATTTTTATTTAAAAAAAAAAAAAAAAATTTTATTTTTTTTTATTTTTTTTTTTCTCGGTTTAAATCCCAATTCAAATAATCTTTTTTTTTTTTTTTTTTTTTGCAATATTTATTTAATATTTGTTTTATTTTTTTTTTTTACATTTTCTTTGTTTTGATGACTTTGAAAATGTTTGTATTGTATATAAATAATAAATAAATATATAACTAAAATCAAGAACGATAAAATAAAAAATAAGAAAAGGTAAAAGAAAGTTATAAGATTCGAAAACTAATTCCATAAAAATTTTTATATTTTTTTTTTCGTAACAAAATAAATTTTATTTTTTTTTTAAAATTTTTTATCCCAACCAACTCCATTAATATCATTACCAACAATTAAAATAATCATACATATTTATTTTTTGTCATATAGATTTTTATTTTATATTTAAAAACAAAAAAGTAATAGATAAAAAAAAAAAAGTAATAAATAGTAGTTATTTGTTTTCACACACATAGAAATTTCACACACACATTTACCCCAGTATTAAAAAATATTGTTTTTCTTTATTACCCATTAAACACTTATATATTTTTGTATATTTTTAAAAAAAAAAAACACAATTTTTTTAAAAAAAAAAAAAAAAAAAAAAAAAAAAAAAAAAAACCAAATTTATCTTTTAAAAAAATAATAAATAATAGTAATAAAGTTTATTTTAAAATTACAACAACAAAAAATAAAATAGAATATAGAAAAAAAATAAAAAGAGAAAGTTAATTTAATTTAAATTTAAAATAATAAATTTATTAAAATTTAAATTATTTTATAAATAAAATTAATTTTCATTCTTTTTTTTTTATAAATTTTTATTTATTTATTTATTTATTCTTATGTATATTTTTTATTTGTAAAAAGAATATTTTTTTTTTTGAGTTTTTATAATAATAGCAATAATATTATATAATTAATAGTTAAATTATATTAATAATACTTATCATAAAATTTACATGTACATTAATACTAATAATAATCTTGTATTTTATTATAATATAACAGTAAGCGGTATTTGTTAAATATAACAGCAGCAGCAGCAGCAGCAACACCACAAGAAATATAAGATTATAAAATATTTTTATTTATTTTTAAACTCTAAATATAAAAATAGTAAAAATTAAATAGTATAATAATATAATAACAACATCACATAATTTATCAAGAGTAATTTATGAATATAATATTGGAATTATTACCAACATACAGTTTTCTTTTGTAATATAGCAACCAACATTTAGATAATATTTAAATATGTCGAGTTTTAGAAAGAATAGTGGCGGATTAAATGGTGCAATCATTGATGATAGGCATGCAGTTATAAATGGAAATCATAATGAATCGACACCATTGGTTTCAAGAGATGGCGAGAAGAAATTTTTACCAATACCTTCATTTTGGAATACAGTTAAAGCATTTGCAGGTGCTGGTTCATTTGCATTACCGTAAGTAGTTGATTATTTTCTATTATCAATCAATCTAATCAAATGATCAATCTAAATTGAATTATAGATATTAATTTTTTTTTTAAATAGATGGGCAGTAATGAATGCAGGTTTATGGATTGGCTCAATTGGTTTAGTATTGATTGCAATCTTATCAAATTATACGATGAATATATTATTAAAGTGTTCAATTAAAATGACAGATGAAAAGATAGGGCCAGAAAAACCAAGTTATGCAGATTTAGCTTCAAGAGCTTTTGGTAGATGGGGTGAATTATTTGTTTGTTTTATGAATTTCTCAGTAACAATGAGTATTTGTATATCATATCTTATTTTGATTGGCCAAAATTTAGATGAATTTACACACATTGGTTATATTCCAATGATTTGGATAGTTTTACCACTTATATTATTATTAACATTTTTAACCGATATGTAAGTATAATACCCATAAAATTTATATTATTTAAAATATTTTTATTAAAACTTAATAATTATAAAATAGGAAATACTTGGGTTTTACATCAATTTTTGGAGCACTATCATTAATTTTAGCAATGGTCACAATTGTTACATATGGTATTAGAGATAATCATGTTCATCCATTAAAAGACTATACATTTGATTTCAAAAATATTCCATTATGGTTTGGTAATGCAGCTTTCTTCTTTTGTAATCATATTGTTGTAATTCCAGTTAGTCACGCAAGCGGTGATAACAAGAAATATCCAAAGGTATTAGACTTTGCCATGATTTTTATTACTATCATCAATACCGCTTTTGCAGTAATTTGTTATCTTTATTATAATTTCACTAATGGTGGTATTCCATCTGCTATCATCGATGTTCTTCCAAAAACTGGTGTTTTTGCTAGTATTGTACGTGCCTGTGTTATTTTAGAGTTAACCTGTTCATTCCCATTAATTTTTGCTGCTGGTATTAATGTTGTTGATTCAACGATCAAATGGTTCCACAAACATTTTAATGCTTTTCCAGAGTTAGAGTCAACTTCAAATGCCCCATTTTTATCTAAAAATTGGAAATTCTACTTAATTCGTATCATCTTTTGTTCTGGTTTGGCTGGATTGGCTTCAGCCATTACTAATTTTGGCAATTATACCTCTTTAATTGGTTCTCTTATGTTGGCTATTGCTGGTTTTGTTGTACCACCATTACTTTCTCTTAAATTCTTCCCTGAACAAAACCTAGCCTGGAAAATTTTCCATATTGTTGTTACTATATTTGGTGTTGTAGCAACAGTACTTGGAACCTATTTATCAATCAAGGGTTTCATTAACTAAATATATCAAATAAACAAAAAAAAGATAAATAATATTAATTTTTTATTATAAATAATAATAAAATAAATAATAATACTTTTAAACAATTTGTAATTAAACAAATCCAAAAAAGTCAACATCAAAAAAAATAATAAAAAAAGAACTTAAAACTTTTCGAAATATAAATCTATTGTTTTTCATTAAATTTTTTAAAAGAAATAATAATATTTAAATAAAAAGATATTAAAAAATAAAAAGTTAAAAATTCCCGGTTTGGTATTAGATTTTTATTAAAAAATTCGAAAAAAAATAAAAATTAATAAAAAAATAAAAAAACGAATCTTTATTTTTTTATTTTAATTTATTTTATTTTTTTATTTTTTTTATTTTTTTTACTTTTTATTTTTTTATTTCCATATATTATTTTTTTATTATATAGGTAATAGCAATGATCGAACCAGATGATAAAAATAATTTAAACATTGGATCTTCATCAGAAAGAGGAGAATCGGTAAATAATAGTAATAATAATGTTCCAAATAAACAAATTGGCAGTGTTTTAGGTGATTCATATGGATCAAATACTTCAAGTGATGAATACCAACACAATAGTAATAATAGTAGTAGTAGTAATAGTAATAATAACGACGATTCTATAAATAATAAAAATATTAAAAGAGCATTATATAAATTAGAAGAGGAAGATGAAAATAGTAGTGGTGGTGAACAATCATCGATTTTATATAGCAAAAAGAAAAATAAAAACAAATATTCACATTTAGACGAAGAGGATGGTGAAGAAAGTTATGAAGAAATTACATATAACCATAATACCAAAGAGGATGATGAGAGTAATATTCCTTTAAAGGAGGATGTTTGCACCGATAAAAACCATATCCATTATTCTCCACACGAAGAAAAAACTCATAACAACTATGTTTTAACAACTTATGATAAAATTCCACCTTATTTACAGGGTAACGAGTTTATTGTTTCGGGTTATAGGGTAAATTTTTCATATAAACTTTGTATTAAAAGTATCTTTAGATTGCATAACGAAACATTAAATATTTGGACGCGTGGGTATTAAAACAAATAAAACTTTTATTATAAAAGATTATTAATGCTTATTATTATTTTATATATAGATTTGTTGGGTACAGTTTTATTTTTTATTTTAATGATTTATACATTATCTTCCAAATTACATCAAGATGCAACACCAACAGACAGATTTGTTTTCAGTATCTTTTTTATTTGTGCACAGGCTCAAATGTTATTTTCAACATTATTCCATATTTTCTCTTCAGTATCTGGTAAAACATATCTTTGGATGGCCAGATTGGATTATACAGGTATTAGCTTAATGATAGTAGGATCACATTTTCCACCAATATATTATGTTTTTTCTTGTCAAAAAGGTTGGGGTACTTTTTATTTATGTTTAATTTCGATTATGGGTATCGTTGGTGTTGCTGTTGGAATGATCCCAATTTTCCAGACCTATGCTTTCCGTACTTTTAGAACCTTATTCTTTATTGGCTTTGGTTTGTTTATTGTAGTTCCATTACCACAAGTTTGGGCCCAACATGGCATCGAATATTTCTGGCCAATTTTATATAGATTAATGTTAATGGGATCACTTTATATAATTGGTGCCGCAATTTATGCAACGTATGTAGTAAAAAGTATTGTAAAATTTAATCATTTATATTAATTTTTTTTTTTACAAATTATATTAGACGATATCCCGAATGTTGTTGCAAACCGGGTAGACTCGATAATGGATTTTCAAGTCACCCAATCTGGCATCTTTTTGTTGTAGCTGCAGCAGTTGTTCAATATACTAATTGTCTATATGCATATAATCATTACTCCGAAGACTTGTGTATTGCCAGTCTAAATCCAAATATATAACATTATTTATAAAATAAAATTTATTTAAATTACCATTGATTGTAATAATAAGTAAACAGAATAAAAGCAATATTTTTTTTTTTTTTTTAATTATATATCGAAAAAAGATGTTTTATTTTATTTTTTTTTTTGATGATTTTTATTTTTAAAAAAATAATTATTATTATTATTTTTTAGGATTATTGTATATTTTTAAATTGCAAGTGATTTGATATTACGTTCATGACGACGACCTTTTTGATCCATTTTATCTACTCTCTTTTTACCTAATAAGTTACCATATTTAAAGTCTTTTTCAAGCATTTCTTCTTCTGGGTCTTGTGGATAACGTTTAATTAAATCTTTAATTTCAGCATTCATTCTACGTTCTTCGATTTGTTCTTGATCTGGTTTTTCTTCAAGGTCATAAAGGAATCTGCTAACCATACCTAAATTATATGGATCATTATTTTTCTTCTTAAGCTTAGATTGGAGGAGTTGGGAAAGAGTTTTCTTTCTTTCTTTTTCTTCGCTTGGAACAATGAAACGTTTACCCATAATACGAGCAGCTTCTTCTGGATTGGTGTAGTTTGGTAAACCGTTTTGAATAGCCAATAAAACATTGTTCCAGTTTCTACGACCATAAGTTCTAAATGTAACACCGTGAAGACCAATGGTTGGTAAAATAATAGTTTGTTTATAACCACTATGATCCATTTGATCATAATCTTTACTCTTAAAGAATCTAACCTTGGTACTTCTATATTTCATATCTAAACCTGATGGTAAAGTATAATCCTAAAATAAATAAAATTAATAAAATATTAGTATTAAATTAAATAAAATAAAGTATTTGGAATATAGTTACTCTAAATCTATCTAAAGTAAAAGCTCTTCTTTCGGCATCTTTGGTAGCTCTTCTTAATGCAGAAACGGCAGTATCACCTTTACCATAACCTCTTGAGGCAGTACCTTCACCATCACCATTGAAAACTGTAGCAGAGAAATTGAAAACACGACCAGCTCTAGTAACTGAGGTATGACGGCCAACACTTACAAGATTTTTAATTGAAAGATTTGGTGTATCATCCCATTCGATATCTTGTAAATTTTTATTATAATTTATGTAATCATCATGATCATCTTCGAAATCTCCTTCCTCATCATCTTCAAGGCCCTCTTCCTCGGGATCTTCTTCTTCGTCTAATTCTTCTTCATTCTCTTCCTCTTTGCCCTCTTCGTCTTCATTAACCTCTTCGTCTTCATCCATTTCTTCTTCAGTTGGTTCATCCTCTTGATGGTTTTCTAAACCTTCATCGCCTGCCTCTGATTCTCTTTCGTCTTCAAAATCTTCTTTTTCATATCCCAAACCTTTGGCTACATCATAATCATCATCGACTTGATCTTGACCAATAAATACAGGGGTATCAGAACCTGGGTTTTTTATAAAGTTTCCTTTGAAAAGAAGATTTGAGGTTTCGAGTCTCATAAGCTTTTCTTCAATATCCATTTCGTCAGCTTCTTCTTCTGGAACACCAAAGAATGGGAATAAAGTTTTAATTTGTCTAAGGGTATCTTCAAATTTGATTGATTTATTTATATTCTTTTGTACTGCGTCGACAATTGTGAATGGATTGGAATCGGTTACACTTGAATCTGATTTGGTTCTAATGTCTTCCTCTTCTTCGTCAACTGGTTCATCTTCTAAATCTTCGGTAATTTCTTTTTCATAATCAAAATCTTTGGCCAATTCTTGATCAATTTCTTCGACTTCTTGATCAAATTCTTCGACTTCACCCAAATCTTCTTCATTAAATGCATCTGGTAAGCCTTCTTCGGAGGTGTTCAAAGTTGCGTCTTCTTCTTCATCATACTCTCTTATAACATCAGTTTTGTCGGAATCATCAGTTTCTTCTATAACTACATCTCTAATTTCTCTTGTATTTTTGACATCTCTTATTCTTTTAACTGCATCGACCATTTGGTCAATATCTTCGGTATTTTCATCTTCAAGGTCAAGCTCGGTTTGGTCAGTTTCTTCGATATTTTCAGCATTATTTTTCTCTTCTGGTGTATTATCAGTTTCTGAAATTGTTTCGTCTGATCTTTCAATTTTTGCAAAACTAGATTCTCCAATTAAATCATAAGGTAATAAACGAGAATTGATTTGCTCAGCTTCTAAAAATTTGGAATCTACATATTCTTCACCTTCATTTTCATCGGTTTCTCCAATCTCTTGTTCTTGTTGTTGAATATCCATTTCTGTCATATTAGCCATAGGTAATTGATTTGATTTGTATTTTGGAAGAATTTGGTCAATTTGTCTATCCTTTCCAATTTTGGTTTCTTTGGATAAGCTTTTGGCATCTTCTGAATGTGGAGTATCACCTTCAACTTCTTTTGGAACATCACCTTCACCATCACCTTCACCTTCACCCTCACCTTCACCATCACCTTCACCTTCACCCTCACCCTCACCCTCACCTTCACCTTCACCTTCAACTGGGTCCTCACGTAACATACGGCTTCTACCGACAAAAAGTTGTAAATCTTCTGAGAAATCATGTTTAAGAACTGGGAAATTAAGTTTTTCACCTTTAGAAAGTGGAGCAATATAGGTTTCATTTGGATCGAGGAAATTTGTATTAATATATTGGCAATAATAAACCAAATTTGGCAATCTCTTTAAGTTTTGGACAGTATTTTTGAATTTACCTAATGAAAATTTAAAATTATATTAATAAAATTATTTATTATCTATTATCTATTATATTAAACTTACCTGGACCGAGTTTATACAATGCTTTAATTAATTGAATTGGTTTATATAAATCACTTTCTTTGGATGGTTTATTTGTTGAATCTTGATTAATGATATGATTTACAATATCGAAATCGATTTCAGAATTAAAGTGTGATAAAATAAAAGCCATTTTTCCAGCTTTTTCAGCATCTTTTGGTAAGAGGGTATCAACTTGATGTTTAACTTGATTAATAAAATCTTGATCGAGGCCATCGAGCTTTTGATCAACATTCTTGAAATTTGTAATACTGCTTTTTAATAATTGAGTGATATCGTCTTTTAATTGGAAGATCTTTGGTAAGTCTGAGGCAGAACCAATGGAAGCGGTACTGGATGGGACTTGCTCTTGCTTTTCAAGTTTTTTTGCAAATTGTCTTGAAATAATTGCCATTTCATTTAACAATAATTCCATTTGGAATTCAATAGTTGAATAGTCTTTAGTTTGTTTGGCATTTTTGAAAAGATGATTAACATAAACATTGAATTCATCAATAAATTCTAATGTTTCTGTTTCTGCTGTGACTTCATTTTCGCTGATCTCCTCTGATTGGTCTTCTTCTTGATCTAATTCTTGTTGATTTAATTCGTTATCTTCAGAGAACTGTTCAATTTGTTCAGTTTCTTGATTTGTTCCAAATTTACCCAAAGCTAAATGTTCAATATTTTCATTAAAACCATCAGCAAAAGCCTTTAATTTCATAGTATTAATTTCCATATGTTGACAAAAAGCAGTGAATTCATCTAACTTTTGACTAAAAACACTATCGAAATTTTGATAATCTTTGAATGAATTAATAAGTGTATTTAATGTTGATTGAGTTGTACTTAAAGGTGTATTTCTTTCTGAATCTCTTTGTTGTTTGAAAATTGCAAATTCTTTATATAAAGTATCTCTTTCTTCTTGAGATTTGATTTTTGATAAATGTTCAAATAATGTAGTTTGAATACCTTTTAATTTGGCGAATTCGGCTATATCAAAACTAACAAACTTGGAAACTTGTTCGTCATCCTCATCCATTGGTGGCAAGAAATCATTTAAATCTTCACTGAACTCTTTAATTGGTTGAATTGATTGACCATCTTGAATTTTTTGGTTTTGAAGTTCTTTTAAGAGGTCTTCTAAAATATTTTCAATATCTTTATTGGCTTGCTTTGATTCTTCAAGTGTTAATTTAAATGGAACATCGCTATTCTTGAAGGTGTTACTAAAATCAGCATTATTATAATATTCTTTACGTAAAACTCTCATTGCAGTTTCGAAATAAGAGAGTTCACCTTTTGTAAATTGTGCAGAGTAATTTCTGAGGTAGTCATCTAATCTACCAAAAATTTGACTGATAAAGCTGACAGCATTCATAAACTCGATTTGTTTTTGTTTTGAAAGTTTGCCTACTTCTGGGTGCATAATGATTGGTTTTGGTGGAATAAATTCGAATGCAAGATTATTGAGGTTAACTTCTGGAATATCGGATGCACTTTCGATTGGATCTGAACCACTGAATTCAAAAGCTGATGATTCGGTTGTATCTTCTGTAATTTCATTTTCGTTGTTATTTAATCTATTGGCATTACCACCAAGTTCATCGATTGAAGTTGAAAAAGTCGATGGGTCATCTTCGTGATCTGGAAAAGCGTTAACTAAAACATCCATTGTGCTATTTAATTGTGGTAATGCTTTGTCTAAACTAATTGGTTTAATACGATTTGGGTCATTACTGTAAAATTTACTATATGCTGTTTGGTCAAACTCCTTGTTTAATGAATCTCTTAAAACTTGAGTTTCCATTAAATCCTCTTTATTTGCATTTCTTATGTCTCTTGATGCTTGATACTTTGATTTTTTAATTACAACATTTTCATCATTATTTTGTGAGCAAAATCCTCTGACACCATTTGATTGTGATCTTGAAGCTAATAATGTAGATGATTTTAATGTTTTTAAAACACCATATCTCAAATCACTAGTAGTAATTTTGGTGAATTGAGACATTTATTTATTTTATTACTAATATTTATTTTGAAAAAAAAAATAAATAAAAACTAAATAAATAAATAAATAAAAACAATAATATGAAAAAAACGAAAAAAAAATTTGAAAAAAAAAAAAAAAATTTTAAAAAAAGTTTTTTAAAAATTTTAGAAAAAAAAAAAAAATGATTTTTTTCATGAAAATGATTTTTTTATACCAACACGTACTTCATAGGGTCATTACATTTTTTTTTATTTATTATTTCTTTTTTTTTTTGGTTATATTTTAATAATTAAATATAAAATTAGCACAATTATTAATTTCACTTAATCCTAATTGTTTAAAATATCTTTATTTTTGATTAATTCATTATTTATTTATTTCTTTATTTGTTTATTTATTTATTTATATATTTTAATTTATATTTATATATTTATAATTTATTTATTAATTTATTTATATATTTATTTTTTTTATTAATTTATCTAACAAAAAAATTGTTAATATATTTCGTATATTAATTAAATTATTACTATAAAAAATATAGTAACTGTTTTAAAATTGATTTTAATCATACCTAAATAATATTTAATCATAAAGACTTTCAATTAAAAATAAAAGAAAAAAGTAAAATATATATTATAATTTCAAAAGGATAAGTGTTAAAGTTTTATTATAAAACACACTTAATTTGGTTTTTATTTTTTTTTTTATTAAAAATTTATTATTTTTTTATTATTTTTTTTTTTTAATTTTTTTTTTTTTTTCAATTGAAAAATTTTTTTTCTTTTTTTATTATACATTACCACCCCACACATAACTAATTAACAATTAACACAAGATAAACAAATAATAAATAATAAATAATTATACAACAGGTTATTTTAATATTTAAGAAAAATGAATGATAATAAAGGTAAAAAAAAAAAAAAATAAAAAAAAAATTAAAATATGATGATCATCAAATAATTTAATATAAAAAAAAAAAAAAAAAAATATTAATGTGAATATTAATATAATTCATTACTATTAGAAGTACAAGAGGAAATTCAAGAAAATGTTGATGAAGTAAAAGAAAATGTTGATGAAGTAAAAGAAACAGTAGAGGCAAAAGTCGAAGAAGTTAAAGAAGATATTAATAAATTAAAAGATGATGTTAAAGGTGTCGCAGAGAGTGTTAGTAACACTATTAGTTCAAAGGTTGAAGCAACAACATCATCTGCTAAAGCTGCTATCAACGAAATCAAAAATGAAGTTAAACAGGCAGTTTCTGGCAATGCTGGTTGCCCATACTCTATGAATGGTGAATTCTCTATTTGTGGTCAAGTTTGCAAACTTTCTAAGGTTGTTCAAAAGAATCCATCCTTTGAATGCGTTAAAAAAATTGTTTTATGGGAAGACCTTATTCAAAGTGGACTTTTATTCGCCATTATTAACGTAGTTTTCTTTTTAGTTACCTTTTCAAACTATAGTTTATTCTCATTATTTGGTTATACCGCCTTTACTTTTACTATAACATCAATTCTTTTCAATATTATTTCAATAGTTTTAATTAGACATGTTCAAGGTGTCAAATTAGACAACCCATTCACGTAAATATAAATATCAAAATTTTTAAACTAATTAAAAATTAACCCATCTTTTGTATATTTATATATAGCGACCAATTAAAAACCCTTAGTTTCCATGTTCATGAAGCTGTTATTGAAAAACAAGTTAATAATATTGGTGAAATCGTTAATACTATTTTAGGTATTGCCAAAGATATTTTTGGTTGCAAGAGTCTTTACCTCTCAGCCCAATTTGCTGTTGTTTTCTATTTAATTGGTAGAGTTAGCAAATGCTTATCAAATACTGGTGTTCTCTATGTTGTCTTCCTCGCTTCATTCCTTCTTCCAAAACTCTATGTTGAAAAGAAAGAATTAATCGATCAACAATGTGCTAAGATCTCTGCTCTTATCAAAGAACCACTCTCAAAACTTCACACTTTTATCCCAAATTCACAACCAACCACCACTTCAAAAAAATCAAACTAAGTTTTAATTAAAATGATATATATTATTTTTATTTCCTATAATTTCATAATATAAAAAAAAAAAAAAAAAAAATATAAATAAATTAATAATATTGTACACTTTTTTAAAAAAATAAAAATAACAGTTTTCTAAGAAGGATTTGATTAAATTTTATTTATGTACATCTTTTATTTTATTTTATTTATAAATAAATATTTTCTATATTTTATTTATGATCTTGTAAAAGAATATAAAGAGGAAAGTGAGAACTTTTCTTTGACCAATTCAATACCTGTTTGCAAATCATTAAGGGCTTGGTCTTGGAGAGGTACACGATTAAGAATTGTGTCCTCATCTGTTTCAAATACTACTCCATCAGCAACAACTTCGTCAATATATAGTTTAATAGTTGAAAAATTTTCTAAAAATAATTTCTTTGTTACCATTACAGTTTCATTATTTGTGCATGCTTTCTTGAATAATGATATTAAAACATTTAAAACATCTAAAAGTATTAGTTCATTTGATTCTAATGATTTCCCTACAACATATACCCATACATCACTTTGTTTTGATCCAATAATAATACGATTCTGAATAATATCTAGTTCGCCTATATTTTAAATTTTAAATTTTGGTTAGTATAATATAATAATTAATGAAAAAGATTAAAAGAAAACTTACAATTTGAACCTTTACTCTTTTCAAATACTTCTTTTTCGAATTTAATTTTTTCTGGTTCTCCTATTGGTTCATAAAATAAAGAACAAAGTCTTTTACCATTGTTATCTAAAATAATAATTGAAAAAATTTGATATATATCCATTATCTTTTTTTAAAATTTTATGATTATTTAATTTAACAAAAAAAAAAAAATTTAATTTTTTAAATTTTTAATTTTTTTTTTTTTTTTTTTTTTTTTTTTAATTTTAAATTGGTGTGTGTTAAAACCACACAAACAAAAAAAATTGATGGGAATGAAAATGAAAATAAAAATAAATAATAATAATAAAGATAATAATAAAAAAAGAAAGTAATAAAGTTTTAGAAATTATTTAAATTTAAATTTATTGTTTTTTTATTAGAAAATGAACATAGATGTTAGATATTGATTAATTAATTCATTAATTAATTTGTTTATTTTTTTTTTTATATGGCGGAGGTTAAAATTATTATAGCCAGAGAATGAAAATTATAATCAAACCATCAAGCAACACAGGATGCAATTTTCTTTCATTTATTAAATTCCTTTTTTTTTGGGGTATAAATAGCTGCCTATGTATCGCGTTTTTGAATTTTTTTTTTTTTTTAAAAACGATCGAAAAATTAATTTTAAAATTGATCATTTTTTGTTGGTTTTATATAATCTTGATCTAGATATTATTTTTTGTTTTAGTAAAAATTAGACATTCTAGACTCATATTATATATTTGGTTATATTATTATCATTTTTATTTTGTTGATTATTTATTTATTTTTTTCTATGATTTGAGATCATTATATAAGTTATATTTGGTTATATCAACCTAAAAAAAATAATTTTTTTAAAAAAATAATTTTAAAAAAAAATAATTTTAAAACACTTTTTTTTTTTTTTTTAATTTTTTTTTTTTTAAATTATTTTATTATAATTTTGTTTTGATTTTTAATTGAAAAAAAAAAAATTACCCATCTGCTGACCCACATTATATATTAATAATAACAACTAAAAAAGTATTATTTTTTTTTTAATTTTTATTTTTTTTTTAAATATATATAGACACAAAACATTATTTATATATATATTTATATATATATTTATAAAATACACAAAATTGTATAGTAGTAATAGAATTTTTATTATTTTTTTCTATTTTTTAATTTAATTTTTCCTTTTTATTGTAATTTTTTTTTTTTTTTAATTGTAGTTATTGAAAAAATAGTTATAATAAATAATTTTATTTATAATAATATAAAAAAATAAATATAAAAATTAATTTAAAAAAAAATTAAAAAAAAAAAAAAAAAGGAATAATTATAATTAATAATTAAAAAAATGGATACCACATCCAATTTATTAACCTCAACAAATAAATTACAATCGCCAACAGGTACAAATTTACCTGTAAGTACTAATGTATCAGTATCACAATCACCAATAGGTACCAGCCAAGCATTCGGAGTGCCATCAGTTACATCACCAATAAACAACAGCATGAATGGTGGTCAATCTACAACTACACCAAATTTAGCCAGTATCGTACAACCTCCAATCAACAAAGGGAGAAATAAATTAAAAGTCGAATATTACTTTGATGATTACGAGGATTCATTTTTTACAAAACAAAATATAAATGATCCATTAAAATTATCGGTTATACCAGATCTTCTATCATTACAAAGCGAAAAGAGAACTACCAATATTGTCGGAAGTAATATACCTCAAGAGGTATTGGAAAAATTTCAAGCAACAGAACAAGAAAGAAATAAATCATTCACAAAGGGTGTTCAAGAATCTCTTGATATTTTTAATCAAGATTGGTTAGTCGTTAATCGTGAACCTTTACCATCAGCACAATCACAGCCATTAAAGCCACTTACAATCCAACACTTTTCTGCCGATAATGAATTCGATTCAGTTTCACCAACCGAAAGCGTCAAAGATTTAAATAAAGATTTAGAAGAAACTTCAAAACTTTCAACACCAGATCCAAAATCAGTAGAGTTTTTAAAAACAAGCAGAGTTCCATTATTTCAAACATATTATATTGCTGATGAATTACCACAAATCGATCCACCAAAAATTGGTAAAAAAATTATCGAAAATATGTATGTTTTTATTTTATTTTATATATATTATATTTTTCGAAATTTATTTATTAATATACTTTTTTTTTTTTTTTTTTTTTTTAAATAAATGTAGTGGATTTCAATTTAAAGCAGAATGTACCGATTTTAAAGCACAAATAGGTAATTTTGAACCATTTTTTGGAAGAATGTTTTTATTTGATGCAAATAAAGTTGATGAATCAAATCTAAAGTCACCAGAAATTGGTATTGTCTCAGAAGTTTTTCATTTTGATTTAAATCATTATTTAAACCAAGACTTATTACCAAAAATTGTAAATATATTATTTTTTATATTAATATTAATCAAAATTTCCCCCAAATACTAATTTTTTTTTAAATTAAATAGAATCTTGGAGTTAATCCATTAAATCAAATTAATCCATTGGATAATCAAAGCTCAACCAAATTTTTAAAATCAATTTTTACATGCGATAAATCAGAAGATGTATATTTAGTAGTATGTTTTGATAAAGTTATATTGGGTGATCCAGAGGAAACAACAAAGAATTATTTCAATCCACCAAAACCAAAGGATTTAACAAAGTTCCAAGGTGAGGTTAAAGAGGGTGTCAGTAGATTAGGTAGATTTAAACAAACATTTATTTGGGGATGTTTAGAGTTATTCGATTCAAATAAGAAGTTTAATTTCGATCAGGGTGAAGTTGAAGTAAAGATTACAAATTTTACAAAAATGAAGTTTGATCAGCTCTATACATTTGTAACCAAAGAAAAGAAAGCAAATAAAGATCCATTATTTGAGTGTACATTAAAAATTCAACAATGCTCAGTTTCCCTCGATGATAACAAGTATCTCTATAATGAAACCATTGATGGTAGAATAGATTATTTATTACGTCCAAAAGTTCCAAATCAAAGTGGTGCAAAGCCTGGTTCAGATGGCAAAGATTTGGTAAAAGAAGTTTTATATTTTAATAGTATAAATTCATGTAGTGGCGATTCAGTAGATAGTGTTCATTATTCACCAAAAGAAAACGGTTCATCAGGTAATGGAAATGTTAATAGTCCTTCATCCCCATCTTCAAATACTGTAAATTCAACAATTCAGAATGGTGGTAATGGCTCTACTATTGCCTTACCAAGAGAAATCAAAGAGCCACATTTAAATTTTTCAAACGTTTTATATTTCTATCCAAAGAGTGTAAATTTAACCAATTTAGATCACCGTGGTTCTGCTAGAAATATATTTTTAGAAGTTAAATTAATGGAGGATGATAGTAGTGTCACAGCCACCGGCTTGAAATCTGTTTATGGTACAACTACCTCTCCATTACTTTGTTGTTCTTTTATTACCTCTGTAGTTTATCACAATAAGAAGCCAAAATTCTCCGATGAAATTAAAATTAATCTTCCAGCAAAATTAACACCAAATCATCATTTATTAGTTACATTTTACCATTTGGGTTGTAAGAAAACAAAGAAGGCTGATAATTCTGTTAATACTCCATTGGGTTTCAGTGTTGTTCGTCTTTTTGATGATGATTGCATCATTGTTGACGGTAAATATAAGAGTCCCATTGGTACTGTATTCCCACCTCGTTATTTAGCTCACGAGGCCAAGGATATAAAAGATCAAAAGGATGCCACTAACCATAAAGTTTGGGTAGATAATAAGAAGCCATTATTCTCTTTCAAAACTCGTGTTATTTCTTCTCTTTACCCTCAAGATCATACTTTATCTGTATTATTAAAAGAATCCACCTTGGCAGATCACAGTTTATTAAATGAATACATTAAAAAACTCCCATCAGTACCATCATCATTAAAAACTCAATTCTTCCCAGCTATTATTAGACTATTATTCAAAGCAATTACAAGTCTCTCATCTGAAATTGGTGCAAATTCATTCAATGTGCTTTTAAATCTTTTAGATAGTGTACCTGAAGATGTTTTAACTTCATATAGCACCTATATTTTCAATAATAGTAATGCTGGCTCAATTACATTATATGATAGTTTAGTACAAGTTTGGAATCAATTGTTGGAGGGTGATAGTCCAGCCACAACTAATCAACCAAACATTAAAGATCCAAATCAAACAGCCAATCAACAGGGTACTCAAGCAACTGTACCAAATCCAAACATATTAAATTCAAGTGAATTAATTACACTTTCAGTTCAATATTCTTGGTTCTTATTTGGAATTATAAAGAAATCGATGATTGTCCATATTGATCTTGATAAAAATCTTAGAACTGGTCGTAATCGTCGTGGTCGTTTACCAGATGAAGTCTTGGGCAGATTCACTTTCTTATTTGAACTATTATTAACTCAATTAAAGCAAACAAAACAGTTGGTTGCCAAGAATTTTATTGTAAACATTGGTTATTTCATAAATGATCTTTTAGATATTTTATCACGTAGCTTTGTATTCCCCATCATCGAGAACTTTGTACATGGGTTGGATAGTGGAAATCAAGTAATGGAACTCACCGAATTGAAATCGAGATTCTTTAGAGTATTAGCATCCAGTGACTCTTTTATTGCATTGAATTTGGCATCACCAATTCAACCATTCCCAAGTATTAATCAAGTATTCCAAGTATACTTTAAGAAGCATTTTACTATTGGTTTAATATTGCAAGAGGTCTATTCAGTAATAACAGCTAACGAAAAAGAAATGAGATTAAAGGTTATTCACACTCTTCGTGAAATCATCTCCAAGATCGATACTAATCAAGTTTATAACTCTCAACCAATGAGAGAAAGAATTGCAGACCTCTTCTTCCCATACCTTTTAATTGTTGTCTACCAATATGATGTCATTAACCGTTTTGACCATGAAGAACAAAGATCATGGTTAGCAATCTTTATTTATATTGTCAAAAATCTAAACAATACAAATATTCTATCAGATTGGTGGAAAAAAGAAACCTCTAAAAATAATGTTATATTCTTTACAATTTTAACCAATTGTTTAACATTGTTTGATTACGCTAAAGAGTATAATGTTAATCCTATTGGCCAACAACAGCAACAAGTAAACAATTCCGACGAAGACAGCGATAAATCATCATCGGTTAATAACACTTTAACCCATCACTCAACTTATTCAACCGATAGTAATATTGTCGACTCTCCAAGTAAAAAGAAAGATAAAGGTGATAAAGAAAAACCAAGTAAAGCCAGTACCAAAGCAAATGTTAGTAATATTAAACCAGATAAAGCTAAAGCATTAATTGAACAAAGTCTTAGTAGTAGTAGTGGATTTAAACAACTATCAAATCTTGGGGCATCTACAGGAAGTACAAACTCTGCTGGTGGATTATCACCATCACCATTAAGGGCATTTGCAAGTAGCGCAACATTTTTAGTTGATTACACGGCAATAGCATCACCAGAGGTCGTCCAAATGATGTATGGTAATATGTGTAATGAAGTAGTTTTAACCGTATTAAATAGTTTATTAGTATTCATTAAAGAATTTAAACAAGACTTTAAGAATAGTACTGCAAGTCCAGGCTATATTGAAAATATCGTTTTCCGTGTAATTTTATCAATATTAAAGCAAGATTTAGCATTTTCATCGATTAAGGTTGTATTTTGTGTACTTTCAACAATGGTTTCAGAATTTAGGGATGTATTATTTAAACAAAACAATTCAATTTGTGCCGATTTAACTCAAGTTGTTTTCAAATATTGTTGTAGCAAACATTCTTCCAGTCGTCAATATGCCACCACATTAATTTATTTAATGATTCAAAACAATTTGGTATCAACTCATCATTTCTCCCGTATGAAATTACATTCTACCATTGCAATTTCTCAAATCTTAAATGAAATCGTTGAAAAAAATAGTCAATACGATTCGAATGTTGAAGTTATTTTCAATTATTTGAAAGCATGCTTGGAATCAATCACCCAATTTGTAAAGAGTAAATGTAGTGATGCTTTATTAAGTAAATCAGGATCAGCCAAGCCATCATTAATGAAGAGTCCAAATGGAAAATCGACAGTATCAGAACAAAACAATACATTTAATCCAATCATAAGTAAACAAATCGAACAACTCAAAGAAAGATTAAATGATGTTATTAGCAATAATATCAAGATTATGCAACATAGTTACGATCCAGAAATGAAAGCAGATCTCTATTATAATCTTTCAAATACATTCATCGAATCACCAGATCTTCGTATTACTTGGTTAAAGAGTTTGAAAGAATTTTTAAAGCAACAAAAGTCAATGGAAGAAGCTGCCCAGGTTTCAATTATTGCCGCTGCTCTCGTTGCTGGATATTTGAAACTATTAAATCGTTTCCCAAAAGAATTATCAGCTCCAAATTTCAATACTGTATCACCAAACGTCATTAAAGAATTAACTTTTCCAGATATCTCATTGTTTGCTGATGTAGAAGGGGAAATCTGTAAACTAGAACATTTCACCGAACCTGGCTTCATTAATTTACTCAAAGATGCAATTCAAATCCAAAAGAGTGGTTACTTTGAATCTGCTGCTGAAACCTATCGTCTTTTATTACCAACCTATATACACCAAAAAGATTGGACCAAACAAAGAGATGCCTACCAAGAGTTGGTTATTCTATGCAGTCAAATTATTAGTGAAAATGTTGTTAGTCAAAGAATTTTCAGTAGTTATTACCGTGTTGCATTCTTCTGTAAGAAATTAAATGAACATCTCCATGGTAAAGTTTTCATCTATAAAGAAAATAACTATGTTCGTCTTTCAGATTTATCCGATCGTCTCAAAGATCAATACAGTAATAAATTTGGTCAAGATAAATTCCATTTATTACCAAATAATAAAATTGTTGACGAATCTCAATTAGAAATTGACCATTTCTATATTCAAATTATTTCAGTAGATCCATATTTAACACCTGATGAATTAAAAGAAAGAAAAACACCATTCGAACAAAACAATCATTTAAGTATGTTTTATTTATACCTTTTTTATTTTAAAATTGTTACTAATTTTATTTTTTAATTAGACAAATTTATATTTGAAATTCCATTTACAAAATCAGGTAAAGTTCATTCAGAGAATATAACCGAGCAATGGAAGAAAAAAGTAACATTAAAAACCGAAAATTATTTCCCATATTTAAAGAAACGTTTAGAAGTTGTTAGTAAAGAGGAGGTAGAAATGACTCCAATTGAAGCCTCGATTGAATTAATTCAAAAGAAAGATACTCTCTTAAAGGCTGAATTAAACTCACGTCCAGCTAACACCAAAACTCTTCAAATTCATTTACAAGGTTGTTTATTACTTCAAGTTAATGCTGGTCCATTGGCTATTTGCAGTTCATTTTTAGGTGAAGGTCAATATCAAAATCACAAAGCCGAACACATTCAAAAACTATCCGAGGTAATGAGATCTTTTGATAAGACTCTTCGTTTTGCCGTAATATTCAATAGATCTTTAATCGGTGAAGCTGCAGAACTTAATAAACAATTAACAGAAGGTTATAATAATTTTAGGGAAAAGGTTTCACAGTATGTAAATTTAACTAATGATGACGATTATTAAACAAATGGTCAGAGTAATAGTAATAATAATAGTAATAGTAATAGTAATAATAAAAAAAAAAATTAAAATAAAATATAATTTATAATTCTTTTATCTTCTTTTATTTAAAAAATTGGTTTAAATAGAATAATTAAATTAAAATAATTAAAAATTAAAATTAAAAAATGAACTAAAATTTCTAAAAGTGATTTAATCTACCTCAAATTGTTGATTATGCATTTCCATGATGCAATTTAAGAATTTTTTCAACAATTGGATGGATTCTGGATTGAATCCCATTATTGTTAAAGTGAGCCATTGATATCCTTGGTCTTTCCTTTTATATTTATAATAAATTTTATTTTTTATTTTCTTTTTTTATTTTCTAATGATTTTATAAATTTCAAAAATAATGGACAGTCTAAACCATGGTTTATATCTTTTTATTTAAATTTACTTCATTATTATATTGTTTTTATTTTTTCAAATGTTTTTATCTAATTTAAAACCCTAATAGAAATATTATTAAGAAAAAAAAAAAAAAGATGAGTGGACACATTTCTTTTTATATAGAAAAAAAAATAAAATAAATTGACACAAACTCTGATATATATATTTATTTGTTAAAAGCATTATTATTTTTATTTAATTATTTAAATAAAAATATACATTTTTAATTTTTATAATACATTTTCCCATTTTCAAAGAATGGTTAAATTCAAAATTTTGTATGATTTGGATTTCAAAGTTTAAAAGAGTAGACAAACAATAATAATCATTTCTTCAATAAAAAAATTATACTAAATTATATCATGAAGAGCTATTTTTAATAAAAAGGAAAACAGTAAAAATAAAAATATTATTTATAAAAAAAAAATTTTATTATATTTTATTATGAAAATAAAAAAAATAAAATATAATAAAATTTTTATTATGATTTTATTTAAAAATTAAATGATGTTTCAATATCCTAATATTAAAATCATTTGATGTTCCAATATATTTGCCTGGCCAGGGAAAATGTATTTCTTCCATCAAATAGATTGAAATATGGTATTATATATTATTATTTTTTTTTTTTTTTTTTTTTTTTTTTTTTTTTTTTTTTTTTAAATTATTAGTAACTAAAAGTTCTTTTTCTAAAGCTTCGGGGTTGACGACGATGGTGAGGACCAAGATGAATGCTGATGCTGATGATAGTGAGGACCCAAGATGAATGCTGAGGATGATAACGCTGAGGACCAAGACGAATGCCAGTGAGGATGCTCATGATGATGATGAGGAGGACCAAGACGAATGCTGATGATGATGATGGTGATGAATGATGATTATGAATGGTGATGATGATGCTGATGAAAGCTGGTGATGAATGAGGACCAAGATGAATGCTAATGTTGATGAGGGGCAACCAATGATGCTGACGCTGATGATGATGAGGGGCAAAATGAATGCTGATGATGGTGATGGTGAGGACCAAGATGAATGCTGATGAGGATGCTCATGATGATGAGGACCAAGACGAATGCCGGTGAGGATGCAGATGATGATAAGGACCAAGACCAATGATGATGATGGTGAGGACCAAGATGAATGTTGATGGTGATAATGCTTAGTACCAAGATGAATGCCGGTGAGGATGCTCATGATGAGGACCAAGATGAATGCTGATGATGATAAGCTGAGGACCAAGACCAATGATGATGATGATGAGGACCAACATGAATGCTAATGATGATGAGGACCAAGATGAATGCTAACGATGAATGCTGCTGATAAATGCTGCTAACGATGATAATTCTGAGGACCAAAAAGAATGCCGGTGAGGATGCAGATGATGATGATAATGAGGACCAAGATGAATGCCGGTGAGGATGCAGATGATGATGAGGACCAAGACGAATGCTGATGATGAGGACCAAGATAAATGCTGATGGTGATAATGCTTAAGACCAAGACGAATGCCGGTGAGGATGCTCATGATGATGATGATGAGGACCAAGATGAATGCTGAAGATGAATGCTGAAGATGAATGCTGCTGATGAATGCTGCTGATGAATGCTGCTGATAATGCTGAGGACCAAAACGAATGAATGCTGAGGAATAAAAAAATAAAAAAATTAGTATTTATTTTTATCACATATTATATATATATATATAATTACCTGTTTGTTTGTTCGCTTGAGCTATTATAAAAAATAAAATAAATGTATATTGATAAAACGAAAATAAAAATGAAAAAAAAAAAAAAATTTTCCCCCACACACCACAAAAAAAAAAAAAAAATTTTAATAAAAAAAAAAAAAAAAAAATTTAATTTAAAAAAATGAAATTTAATTATAAAAAAATGAAATTTACCACACACACAAATTTCTACAAAGGAATTGCGAACATCATTATTAAAAATTATAATAATAATAATTTTTAACTAATATAACCATTTAGATTTATAATAATAGTTTTTATAATTAAATTTAATCTAAAAGTCCACTTTAAGGGAAGTATAATAACTATATTTTTTATTTTAATATTCATTCCTTAAGAAACTATCATTGTTCAATTTAATTATTCAATTTATATTTTTTAATTAATTATAAAAAATAAATTAATCAAAAATTAAATAAAAATAAATAAAAAAGAATCTTGGAGTAAACAATATATTTTTATTAAAAAATAATAAACCAAAAAGATTAGAAAATAGAACTATTGAAACCTTCTTCTTATAAATCATCAACCAGCAAACCCTCAAGAACATCCAGGGTTAACGCACTAAACAACATCTTTTAGTGATTGAAAATTATCTTTATCGTTATCGTTTTTTGTATCACTTGGAAGATTTAAAAAAAAAGGATAAAAGTGGATAATTTAAAAAAAAAAAAAGATAAAAAAAGGATAAAAATTAATAAAATTATAAAATATTTTTGTAAAAAAAAAAAAAAAATTGTTAAAATAAAATTGAAAAATACAAAGGTTTTTATTATTATAAGAAAAAATGATTATTATTAATATTATTATCACGCTTGTTATGAACTCTTCCATCCTTTTTTTTATTGAGAATATCATATACAACATCTTGAATTTGACGATTCCATTCTTTGAGAAGAATACATGATTCAATGGTAGAGTCTTTTAGACGATGTCTTTTATGGGTAACAATATTCTTTCCATTCGAAAAGGTTCTTTCGACTTCGACTGACGAGCACGGAATAGCCAAGTAATCACGAGCAAGAGAAAAGAGAACTGGGAATCTCTTTTGGTTTGAAACATCTTTCCAAAAGCTGATATTTTCGCCATTCTTACGATTTTCGAGTGATAAATATTCGCAAATTTCATTATGTGGGCTATAGATTTCTTTGTTTGCTTTCTTTGTTTTCCAAGATGGAGTGGTAGTGTCTAATAAATTATTATAGTTATCTGTAACTGGATTTTGTTTGATACCTAATAAACTTGCTCTTTCTGAATAAAGTAAATCTAAATTACGAAGATGGAGTGATTTTTTACTGGTTTCCCAAGTTTCTTCAAAATAGGTGAGTTTGTAACATGGGTCTAACAGCATCGCAATATAATAGAATTGGTTTTTATCCATTAATGCAAAGTATTGGTATAACTTTGCTAACATCGATAAAATATTAGAAGTGAAAGGATGTTGACTGCCTTGAATAAGTTTTTCATAAAAGGCAATTATTTTGAGCATGGCCGGAATGGATTCGCTAATAATTGAACCAAATTCTGAAAACTTAAGCGTGAATTCGTAAAGGGGCTTTAATACATAATGCAAGGACTTTAATTGGTCAAAATCTTCAACAGTTAGAACCATTACTTCATATCTGGGGTTTGTTTGAATATAATTTATTAGTGGCTCGATAGAGAGTATATCTGACACCAAATCGAAGAAACTGTTCCAACGAGTAGCAACGTCCATTCTGAGAGATAAATGAGGATTTGGCAGGTTATTTTGTTTAGCATTGTTTATGCAAGAATCCCAAATATCTTTATAAACATCAGGATCGATAGCTTTTATGAGTTGTTTAGTTTTGTTCTTTTCGAATTGAACACAGAACTTGTGGATACGAGCAAAAAATGGGGATAAATCTCTACCTTTTTCATCAGTCGGGGTGAACTCTTTATTGGAATCTGTAGGAATTTCTTTTTCTTTACCAGAATAAAAATCTCTTGCAAGTTTGATGTTTCTTTTGATATTATCTACATAATCTTCACCTAAATCAGCAGGATGAACTTTGAATGAATTTTTATTATTGGAGCTATCTTTTGCTAAACTCCAGAAGGCCAAATTAAATACATGGGCTATCTTACGTTCGCTAATGGACTTGATTGAACGAGAGAGCTCTTTTATACCAGCAATACCATTGTTGGCATTATCCATAGCAATAGATGATATTTTATCTTCGATGCCATACTCTTGGAAGACTGACAAAAGATGGCTTGCTATGTTTTCAGCTGTATGTTTTTCTGGAAATGATTTAATTGATAACAATAAAACCCTAAAATTCATATTTTCATCAAAAAATCGAACCTTGACAGCTATAAATGGAATACCATTATCAGAAGTCCAAATATCGGTTATTGCACCCAATTGACCTGGAATTTTTTTAACCTTTTCTTTGAGAATTATCTTTATATCTTCAACAATAGCGAGTACATCAGCTTTAACAGTAACATTACTCATTAAAAAAGTTCCAACAGACTGATTAAATAAAAATAGAATATGTTAATATTAATTTATATTTAAGGTAAAAAATAAAAAAATTGTATAATTACCATTTGGTGAAGTTTATTCATATATAAGGGATTACTTCTTTGGAAAGGGAGATCATTAACAATGACATCATTGGCATAATGATATCGAGAATTGTGTGGCGTTAAGTGTATAACTGGACCGTTTTCGGATGAATTGATTGGGGTGGCAAATTGCATAATGCTCTCTTTTGGATTTTCAAAATCTCTAAACGATTTAATTTGAGATTCATTATGCGATTGGTAAAGTGCAACTACGTTACATTTTAATGGATCGCCTATATTATTAGAAAAAATATTAATATAAATAAATATCAAAATAATTTTTATTACAGCAAAAATAATAATATTTACCCTTTAATAAATGATATCTTGTATTTGAAACTGAGCGTGTAATGTGGGTGCAATTTGATGGAATATTATTAAAGTGATCGAAACAGACCCTATCGTTGTTTTTTTTTTTGATATAATATTTCTTAAGCTTGTAAGCCTCAAGGGACGACTTTAAATATTTTTCTTCTTTTACTTTTTTCTTTGGTGGCGAAAAACGTGATATTAAACTTGACTTTAAAGATTTCGAACTTTCTTTTGATGGAGTCGAATTCACTGAATTAAAATCTTCTTTTGATGGAGATGGTGGTGTTGATTTTTTGAAAATATTAATTTTGTTTTTTATTTGTGAAAGTGGTTTTGATTTTGATTTTGATTTTGATTTTGATTTTGATTTTGATTTTGATTTTGATTTTGATTTTGATTTTGATTTTGATTTTGATTTTGATTTTGATTTTGATTTTGGCGAGTCTTCACAAAAATTTAATTTTCCTTCAGGTGATGAATCGAGAATGAAAGGATCATAATCTGAATCTTTGCTTGGCGTGGAAGATGTTGAAGACAATGGTGAAGATGATGACGAAGATGATTCAGACGATGGTGAGGATGGTGAGGATGGTGAGGATGGTGAGGATGGTGGGGATGGTGAGGATGGTGGGGAAATAGTATATTGAGCTTTTCCTAACTCTGTCTTTTCTCGAATGGTGTGTTTAAGAAGTCCTGGTGAGTGTAGTTTTGTTTTGGGTGATATATCAACTAACTGTTGATCAATGTTTAAATTATTTGAACGGGTAGGTGAGTTTTTCATCTGTAATAAATGAAAAAAAAAAAATTAATATAAAATAGTTTCTTAAACCTTCTAATATATATTACCTTTAAATGAGTTCTTTTAGTTATCCAGAATGAAAAAAAAAAAAAAAAAACTTTGCTTTTAAAAAAAAAAAGAAAGAAAAACGAAAAATTAAAAAGCATTGTAAAACCTAGTGTTGATGCAATCTAGTTATTTTTTGGGTCTATTTATAGAGCGAATTTAGAAAATGTGTAGAATAATATGTTTTAAAAAAAAATAATTGTAAAAAAAAAATTCTACCTTTTTTTTTTGATTTGGATTTGTTGAGGTTTTAGTTTAACTAAAATAAATACATACATATTAAAAATAAATATAACTATGAATACGTATATTATAATTTAATATTGATTATTGTTTTTTTGGAGAAAAAAACAAAAAAAAAACAATAATTCGACCTTTTGTTTTGGTTTTGTATTGGTTGAGGTTTTTATTAATAAAAATGAAAATAATACTATATTTGCTTTTAGTATTTAAATGATTATAATTTTATATTATATTTTTAGATTAATGGTGATGTACGAAAAAATAAAAACAACAATGATTGGTATTATAATGTTTTTTTTAAATAAAAATATGATTTATTTATGGTTTTTTTTTTTTGATTTATAATATTGTCATTTTATTATTAAAGAGGTGTGAATATAGGCATCAACACAAGTTAAAAATAGCACTACAATATTAGTGTTAGTATCAATATGGTTTTGTGAAGGTTTTTGAAAGGAAAATAAAAATATTATAATTAATAAAATTCAAAATTTAAAAAAGAAAAAATTTTTTAAAAAAAAGCGCGGATTATAATTAAAAAAAAATTAAAAAAATAAATAAATAAAATGTTTTAAAAAAATTAAAAAAAATTTTAAAAAAAAATTAAAAGAAAGGCGGAAAAGAGAAAAATTGTGATGGGTGTGTTTGTGCTGTTATTTTACATCTATTGGCAAATTTTAAAAATCGATAAAAATGAATAATTTTTTTTAAAAAAAGAGATAATTTTTTTTAAAAAAAGAGATAACTTTTAAAAAAAATTTTTAAATGAATAAGATAACGATAATGGGTAAAAACTGAGAATAAGGATAATTTTTATTCACTAACATCTTTACAAGATTAGCTTCACCAACTTCCAAAAATAAAACTGCCATAACAAATATGAATACCACAAAAAGCAACCGTACTCGAAATGTTAGCCAATATCCACACCAATCAAAACCACTCCGTACCAATCAGGTAGTCCGAAATCACCTGCTGTTGATAATAATCAAAGAAAAAAAAACTTCTTAAACTAGATAGATTGTTTCAACTTTACCACACCATTACTTCTTCTTATATTTTAATATAAATAAACACCGTCGCTTACACTAATAATATTTATTATATTTATTAAGTAAGCTTTTTTAAAAAAAAAAAAAAAAAAAAAAAGATATTAAAATTTTATATGTTTATTTATTTAATTATATATTTATGAAATAGTTTATTTTATTTATTTAATTTAATTATTAAAACTATTAATTATTATAAATTTATTTATTAAATGATTATTTAATTAAATATATAAATAATTTAGTTTTTAAAATATTGATTGATTTAGTTATGCTTAGATATGCTTTGCCAGTGAGTCTAAGTGGTGGTTTTTTACCTGCATGATCCAATAATTGTTTCAACTTCTATTAGTTGTTTTTTGGTGATGATGTGATGTGATATTTTGATGATGAGATTTGGAATATGGTGTAAAATATTAAATGTTTTCTTTAGTATTTGAATAAATTTGGATCAATCCGTATTAACCTCCTGTGCATATGAAAAACTTGAAGTACAATACATTCTAACTATTTATGATTACTTTTATTATAACATTATTTGTTGCTATTCTTCTATTATTACCATTATTTCTATTACTACTTGAATAAATATTATTCCTATACCTTTTAATTATAACTCCAACCAAAGGTCAATTCTTTAACTGATTTTAGGATGGTGTTTTCGAATAGGTAAATTATGACTTACCTTTGTCATTTTAAATACAAATTATTTTTAATATCCAAAAAAATAAAAATTAATTAAAAAAAAAAAAAAACTAAAAGATATTGCTCAATTGTTTTATGTATTTATCCCCCAGAAGAGGCCTAAACCAATTATTTCCATATTCGGGGATGTAGCTCAGATGGTAGAGCGCTCGCTTAGCATGCGAGAGGTAAAGGGATCGATACCCTTCTTCTCCAATTTCAAGATTTTTATTTGATTCTTATTTGGGCTATCTTCCCTGTGATTACCAAATATCAACAGTTAAGAATATTTCCTTTAAAAACTTTATAAAAAACATTAAATAAAATTTTACTGATTAATTCAAAGCATTTAATTATCTTCACTTTAAAAAAAAAAACTGTGATTTTTAGTTTTTGAATAATGGGGAGCAAGCTGGAATGGAGGAAGAAAGAATTGGCATGGAGGAATAAAGAATTGCTGCAGTGTGGTAAACTCAAGTATATACACATCCCAAACAAAAAACACAATTAATGAAAATACTGATGACCTAATGTATCTTAAAGGTCATCCTCACTTTTTAAAAAAAAAAGATTAAAAAAAAGAGTATTTAATCATAAAGATATGCCCTAATATTATTTGACCCGGAATAATTCCCCACCTAAAGGTAGAAACATTCAGAATTCAAAAAAAGAATAGAAAGAGCTTCTATGTATATCACCAACACAAAATTTCGTGGTTTAAAGCTTTTTACACTCGACATAGCTTAGAATACATTCTTTAAAACATTAAATAAAATCTACCAATTTTTTTTAGGAATTTTTTTTAGGAATTTTTTTATAATAATAAATTATTTAAAACAAAGTTTAGAATATTTTTAAAATATATAGTATTTCTATTTAAAATAAGAAGTATTTATTTAGTTTTCTTTTGTTTTTGTTTTTCTAATTGTTCTTGTTTTTTCTTTTTTAATTCATCTTTATAAGCTTTTTTGGCGGTTTTTGAAAAAGAGGATATGGATGAAATAAAAGATTTTACCGAGGAAACCAAAGTTTTATGTGATGAGGATAAAAAGAATAAGATTGAAAAGTCAATGATTGAAATTAAAAGAGAGAGGATTGTTGCCATGAAACCGATTGGAAGGAAAAGATGTGATTTAAAAAATACAATCCAAGCATTAAAGATAATTAAAACAAAATCTATAATTAATAAAAGATGAATATTTGATGTTTTAACTGATTTTTCTTTTGATAATAAAATTCTTAATGCTATAATCGATTGAATAAATGTTACTGTAGCTAAAAGTACTGAATACATTGTAAGTAAATTTAAAAATATTTGATTTTCATAAAACTTGGCAAAACCTTCGCTATCGAAACTTGGTTGTTGTTCTTGATTTGACAATAACTCTTCACTATAATCTTCGCTTTCATCCAATAGTCTTTGTGCTGGTTCTGTAAAATTTGGATTTTTAAAAAATTTTTGAAAATCTATAACACTCTTGAAACCATCTGGTGAATAAATGCCCAAAAAACTTAAAATAAAATAAAAAAAACAATCGAATCTAATATAAACATCCAACACAAACTCTTTACTTTTGAAAATAATTTCATAAAGTGATTTTTTATTATTTTTTGCTGCTGTTGCTGTTGAAGTTGATGTTTCTGACATTTTTATTGAATGATATTAAATAATAAACGGATATTATTATAAATATAATAAAAATAGTTATAAAAAAAAAAATGAAAAATAAAAAAATTTAAAAAATGAAAAAAATTTAAAAAAAAAAAAAAAAAAAAAAAAAAAAAAAAAAAACAAAAACGATTAACCTGGTTTATGAGATATTTTAAAGTTTTAAATAAATTAATTTAATATTTTATTTATACTTTAGTGTTTATTAAAGTTAAAATTTCTTCATCCGGAATCATTTCTAAATTACGTTCTTTTCTTGATAACTCTATTTCTCTTTTCCAATCTACCTTTGGATCGAATGTGTGGTCGCAATTGCCAGTAAATTCTTTTTCTAACTCGTCTAAATCGAAATATTCTGAAAATACTTTAACCTTTTGCTTTTCTCCATTTGCAAATACAATCTTTTTATAAGTTACTTTGTTGACGAGCGGAGTAATAGCCTTCCAAAATACTGAAAAAATAAGTGGGGTGTCAACTAAAAATGCATTACCTAAACGTTCTGGATAATGGTCGGAAAGGATTTGAAGTGTTAGTTTAGCAACATGCATTGGAGGTGAGTTCATAATTGAATAACCATTGAAATCGATTAATAATACAATTTGTTCGTGACCTTTTGATTTATCCATTAATGATACAGCTCTTTCGATATTATAAACCAATAATTTAATTTGTTTTTCGTAATTCTTTGTATTTTCCCTTGTTGGTCTCATATAGATACAAGATCTACCATGAGATTTACCAAAAACATATTGTTTACCTGTTGATGCTTCGTATGATAGGTCTTCAGCGGCAATATCATATGGTCTGTAGGTACTTCTCCATTCGATTGTACCCTTTAATAATTGATAAGATGCTTCAGCTTCATAATCTCTTGCCCTTAAATAACGAAGTAACATCATGTCAATATCATCACTGAGCCATTTTTTTTCTTTTTCCCCGACCTTGCTTGATTCATCCAATATTTCTTTTTCGATTCTTTGTTTGAATTTTTTGAAAATTTCCATTTCTTTTTCTGTTAGGTTTTTAAATGGGTCAAAAATCTCCTCATCTCCTACTTCTGTTTCTTCTTGTTGTTGTTCTATATTTATATTATCTTCTTTTTTATCTTTTTTATCTTTTTTATCTTTTTTACCCATTTTATATATTTTGTGTTTTATTAATTAAAAAAAAAATAGTGCAATAAAAAATTTTAAAAAAATAATTAAATTTATTTTTTTTTTTTTTTTTCGTTTTTTTAAAAAAATAAAAAAAAATTAAAAAAATTTATTTGTAATATACCAGTATTTAGATAAATCTCTTTATTTAGATTATTCATTTGAAAAATCATATAATTAATTCTATATTTATATATTTATATGTATACATTATAAATTATAATAATAATAATACAAAAAAAGTTAAATAAATGTCAAAGATTATAGAAAAAAAATTAAATGGTCATAAAGACACAGTTTTAAGTGTTGCATGCCATAATAAACAAGAAATATGCTCAACAGGTTCAGACGATTGTACAGTTAGAATATGGGATTTAAAATCAAATAAAACAATCAAATGTATTGGAAAAGAGGCATTTAATGATAACCCAATTAATAATGTTTGTTTTGATGATGATTATTTATTATATTGTTCATATGACAATATAATATTATCATTTGATTTAAGACAACCCAACATAATTTTAAAACAATTTTATAAACAATATAAATATAATAACTCGGAAATTAATCAAGTATGTAATTTAATAACTAAAAATAAAATTTTAATAAATTATCTATTTAAAATATTAATTTTTTTTTAAAAAAAAAAAAAAAAAATTATAAAGTTAAATTTTGATTCTAAATTTCAATATTTAGGAGCATGCGATGATTCAGGTCAAACTAAAATTATAGATTTACAAAAAGACAAATTAGCCGAAACTCTTTCAAAAAAACATTTAAATATTTGTTCAAGTGTTGTATTTAAACCAAATTCAAAGAATGAATTAATTACAGGTTCAATGGATTTTTCAATTATACATTGGGATTTTCTTAAATCAAAAGTTTTACATAGAGAAAGTTTTAATCCTCCAATTCCTTTAACAAAAAATAAAAATAAAAAAGATAATAATAGTAATAATGGTGACGATGGTGATAATGATTGTAGCCAACCTGCAACAACCAATCAAATGTTAAATCCACCTTTTGTAAATAGTATAGATATATCAAATAATTCAAAACATGTTTCAGTTGGTCTAGGTAATGGTGATTTAATTATTAATGAAATTTCAAGCTTTAAACAATATCTTAAAATTAACTGTGCCCATAAGTCATCAATTTCACAAGTGTAACTATTTAATTTAATTCAATTTAATAATTAATTAATAATTAATTCTAATAATTAATTCTAATAATTATTATATATTTATATTTATTATAGACAATATCCAAAATATTTAGAAAATAATTATGATACTTTAATTACAGTGGGTAATTATGATAAAAAGATTATACTTTGGGATGTATCTGAAGAATGCAATGAAAGAGTATCAAAACTACCAATTTCAGATGATCAAAATAATCCGATTGATAATAATAACGAAAGAATTAAGTTATGGACTACCCATTCCGAAAAAATTAATTGTTTGACAACTTCACCAATAATAAATAATAATATTTTTATTGCTGATATTTCAAATGATTTATCAATCTTATCAGTCCAATAAAATTTATAAAATAAAAAATGTAAATTCCAAAAAAAACTTATTGAACGATAAAACAATTGTGATTTATAAATTTTTTTTTTTTTTTTTTTTTTTTTTTTTTTTTTTTTTTGTGCGGGGTGTGAAAATAACATTTTTTAAAAAATAAAAAATCTTTTTGATCCCAATCTTATTAATAACCTGGGGGGCACCCTGGTATTCATTTTTAGGGGGAGCCATTGTTTTTTTAAAATTTCCAAGGAAAAAGGCAGATTTTTATTTTGTTTCTAACAAAAAAATAAAATAAAAAATAAAAAAAAAGAAAAAACCATGGGAACCCATTAACCGAATAATATTATTTTATTTTTTTTATAATTTTTTATTTTTTTTTTTAAATTTTAAAAATTTTTTTTTTTTTTTTTTTTTTTTTTCTGAAACCTTTAAAAAAGATTTTTTTTTTTAAAACATCTTTTTTATTTATATATATTCAAAAAAAAATGAGATTATTTTTATTACTTATTTCTTTAATTTTCTTAGCTGTTCAAAGAACAGTTGCCTTCTCAGGTGTTGATATCAGCTCTGTAAGTATTGTGTTTTATTTATGAATATTAAATATTTTAATAAACTAATTTCCAATTTATCATATGATTTTAGGGTTCTGATGTTCCATTCTTCCAATGTGTTAAAAACGCTGGTTTCGATTTTGCCATTGTTAGAGCTTACGAAAGTATTGGTCAAGTTGGTAAGTAATTTAATTATAAAACAACAACAACAACAACAACAATGTTTATTGATAGAATTAAAATCTAATTAATGTGTATGTGTGTTTTTTTTAATAATTTAGATCCAAACGGTCCACACTCAGTTTACAATGCTCGTGATGCTGGTATTGAATACGTTGATGTATATTTATTCCCATGTTTCTCATGTGGTAATGGTGCTGGTCAAGCCGTTTCTATGGTTAACTATTTAAAGAGCTACAATGCCAACTATGGTATGGTTTGGTTAGATATTGAAGGTCCAGGTACATATTGGAGTAGCAACCAAGGTGCCAATCAAGCTTTCTTCAACGAATTAGTCAGTGGTCTTGAATCAGTTGGTGCTCATATTGGTATCTATACCTCTGAATCACAATGGGAGCCAATCATGGGTGATTGGTCAGGTGGTGCTAAATATCCACTCTGGTATGCTCATTATGGTATGTATTTAATAATTCTATATTTAAATAAATCAAAAAACTCACACTAACTCTCTTTACTTGATCATTTTTAGATGGTAATCCAAGTTTCTCAGATTTCTCACCATTTGCTGGTTGGTCAAGCCCAGCTATTAAACAATACAACGATCAAGGTCTTAACTGTGGTGTTGGTGCTGATCTTAACTGGTACCCATAAATTGTTTAAATTTCATTATAACTAAAATTTGGTAAATTTCGAAATTTACCAATTCCGACTATTAATATAAAATGAAAACGATAATAAAAATAAATAAAATTTATTTATAAAATATTTTAAACGCTATAATAATAATAAAAAAAAAAAGCAGTATAAATTTTGTTGGTATTCGATTTTTTTTTTTTTTTTTTTTTAAAAACTTCCACATCAATTGATGCAAATTGGTATTACGATTTTATTAATTACCTTTTTTATTTATTTTACTGTTTTTAATTTTTTTATTTTATTCGGTGATTATATTATTGATTTTCAGTTCACTGCAGTGCCCTGCACTCTTGTAAATGTGTCTATAGTTCTCTAATCTTCAGTTGGTTTTGAGTATAAATCTGTTGATTTAAAATTGTTAAATTCGGAATTTTTTTTTTGACTTTGATTTCTCATCATATTTAGTTTACTGCCTCTAGTTTATAGATAACTCTTAAAAAATAAAATTATACCTTTTTTTATTTAAAAACAATATTTTTATATTTTTAGAAAATATAATAATATTGTTTTTAAAAAAAAAAATTTACATTATTTAAAAAAAATTAGTATTAATATCAATTTATAAGTAAAAAAAATTGTATTAAGATAATTGTAAAATAAAAAAAAAAAAAAAAGGGAAAAATAAAAAAATTTTAAAAAAAAAAAATAAAAGGGAAAAATCTTAACAATAAAAAATAAAATAATAATAAAAAAAATCATAGTAAATAACCAAAAAAAAAAAAAAAAAAAAAAAAAATTTAAAATAAAATTTTCTGTTTTGTTTTTTTTTTTTTTTGGTTTTATCTTAAATTTAAAAATAATGAATATTATTAAAAAATTTCAACAAAAATTCTTGATTATCGCTGAGTTTTAGATATTTATATGAGAATAAGATTATTTGTTCGTAATTTTTTTTTTTTTTTTTTTTCTGTTTAAACATGAAAAATTAAATAATAATAGTATATAATAAAAACAAAAATTTTAAGATAAATAAATAACCTGGTAAAAATATTATTGTTATCACATCAACAAAATAACCTGGTAAAAAAACAAGAAATGTGTACCAATTAGTGTTTATTAAATCCACACATACTATATTTAAAAATAAATATTAAAAAAAAAAAAAAATTAAATTTTTAAAAAAAAAAAAAAATAATTTAATTCAAAAAAAAATAAATTTAAACCGAATTCGTGAAAGGGTATCATTATTTTATTTTTTTTTTTTCAAATTTTTTTCAATTATCATTAATTTTATAATTTATATTGCACACTGGACTCTTTTCATAAAAAATAGCTTTTTTTTTAATAAATATTTTGTCTGTTTAACTGTTTTTTCACGACTTTACGCATTAAAAACCCATTATGTTTCCATTTTTAGAATAGTGTTGTTTAATTTTCCTCTTTATAATAAATTCGAAACGTATATTTTAACAATACAAAAAAAATAAAACAAAAAAAAAAACAAAAAAAAACAGAATTAAATAACCACAGTACCAACAAAACAACAAAAAATATATTATATAGTTTATTTTGATAAAATGTCACAACCAGGCCATGAAGATTTATTTTTAAATAATAATAATAATTTAATAAATGATAGTAATGTAATTAAACAGACGCAACAACAGGAAATTAATCAAGAAAATAAAATCATTTACAATAAAACAGAACAACACAGTAACAATCATAATAATAATAATAATAATAATAATACTTTACAAAATAATAATACAACTAATAATAATAATAATAATAATAATAATAATAATAATAATAATAATAATAATAATAATAATAATACAAATACAAATACAAATAATAATAATAATACAATAGTTAAATCAGAAACACTTTCAGATACACCAAATTCACCAACTAAAGAAGCAGTCGAAGCAATTAATAGTATAATGGCCAGTTCAATATCATTTAATTCATTAAATAACATCAATACTTTAAATAATTTAAATAGTTTAAATACCTTTAATAATTTGGGAGGTAATTTAAATGGTCTTAATGGAATAAGTAATTTAAGTTTATCATCATCATCAATTAGCTCATTAAATAAAATTGCTAATGCAATTGGTGTTGGTCTTGATACACTTCTTTTAACTCTTTCAAATACCAAACACCAACAACAACAATTACACAACATCAACAACAACATTTATTACAATTACAACAACAACACCATCACCACCACCAACACCAACATTTATTACAAACCCAAAATTTTCATGTTAATAACGATCAATTATTAGTTGATCATTCAACAACACCAAGTTTTACAAATCCCAATTTCTTGTTTGGTTTTGATCAAGATCCAACTATTGGTACTTTACAAACCCAACCTGAATTTATTTATACTCTCCAAGCAAATAATATTCATTCACCACAACCATTTTTAATAAATAGCAACACTAATAGTAGTGGTTTAAGCCTTACTACTACCCCATCTGCTTTACCACCACCACCAGCAAATATTAATACCACTGCTACCTCAGTCGCTTCTCTTACACCACCATCATTACCATCAACTTTGCTTGCAAATAATAGTAGTTCCTCTGTTGCTAATGGTACATTTAATATGAATGAAGATAACCCAATTGTTTGCAAATGGAATGGATGTGAACGTAATTTTTATGCAATTTCTGAATTTTGGATCCACTTTAGAAATGATCACTTTAAAGACAAACCGGCTATAAATATTAGAAATAGTAATGGTCAAACTGTAAATACTTTTACAACTTGCGATTGGGATTATTGTGGAGTTGTCTTAAAAGATTTTACCTCATTAACAAGCCACGTTAAATTTAATCATCTTTTAGATCCATATGATCCAGGTAATTATTTAATTTAATTTAATTTATATTGTTTTTTTTTTTATAATTATTTTACTTTTTTTTTTTTTTTTTATTTTGTAAAATTTTTTTTATTTGTTTTAAAACTATAAAATAATTTCATCATATTAATTTTTTTTTTTTTCTTTTTCTCTTTATAATTTAATAAATAAATAAATAAATAAATAAATAAATAAATAAATAAATAAAATAATAAATAATAAAAAAATATAAATTAAAAATTTAAATAAAATTAATAGTCGGTACAAATAGAACCTTATTAAGAAGAAAAAAAATAAATGTTAAACTACCTTTACCACCACCACCACCATCTTCTAGTAATGGTGCTAGTAGTTTTATTAAATCTGTTGATGAATCAATTTATTCCCATTTATATAAAGACATGTTAAATAGTCAACAAAACAATGGTTTATTAAATGATGATGTCGATCAATATTGGGATACTCAAAAATTAAAAAGTGCAAATGCAAATGGTGACGAAAGAGCATTTAAGAAACAAAGGACTAATGAAGACCACGGCCATTACTTGGAGCAAGAATACCTTAGTGGTAGTAGTGATATTGAAACTTTATCAAATGATCACAATATGCAATACCAACAAACTGTACCAATAAATGAAATCAATAATACATCAAATAAAAAAAATAAAAAGAGTAAAAAATCATTAACCAGTGAAAATGAATCATCACCATCAATTAAATCATCACCAATTCCAACATTTTCAAAAGAACCATTCAAATCAACATCAACATCAACATCACCATCATCATCACCACGATTATCACAACCACAATTACAAGTTACATCATCACAACAATCACAACAACCACAACAATCACAACAACCACCACCACCACAGCAAACTGTCAATAGAAAACCAAGAAAAAGAAAATCAACTGATCCACCAGGTCCATTTGAATGCAAATGGAGCGATTGTAGCTTGGGTCCAATCTGGGAAAAGCTTGCTGACTTGGGTGAACATATTGCCGATCATGTCAAAAAACAAAGAGGTAAAAAAAGTGAATCTTATTGTGAATGGGTCGGTTGCTGCAGAGCTGATAAACCATTAAAGAGTGCTTACAATTTAATCCATCACATCAGATATAAGCATACTGGTGAAAAGCCATTCCACTGTGACTACCCAGATTGTGATAGTAGATTTGTTCAGTTATCTGATCTTAATGAACATAAAAGAAATATCCACAAGTTTGAAGATGGTTATGTTAAAAAGAAAAGAAACTCTAAAAAAACTGAACAGCTTGATGATTCACCAACAATTTTAAATAATAATAATAATAATAATAATAATAATAATATTAATATTAATAATAATAATAATAATAATATTAATAATAATATAAATAATAATAATAATACAAGTAATAAACCACCATTACCACCATTACCAACATCAAGCTCCTCTGCATCTTCACAAGATGAAAATAAAAAATCAAATGTAAATAATAAAAAGAAATCCACATCACCAGTAATTCTATCAAATAATAATTTAACATCACACCAATTACACAGCCCAAGAACAATAACATTTAAACCCACCAACCCCAATTCAACAAATTTTTAATAATAATGATGAAAATATAATAGATAATATTGATTCGAATATACCGATTGGAAAAAATAGTTTAAATTGAAAATAATAATACCGACCAAAAATGAATATCATGAAGCTTCCAAATGAATAATTCATACCCAACCCTATGTTAAATATTAAACTCAAATGGGCGAAAGAAGATGAATCAAATAATAATAATGTATCCATCTACCACAACAACAACAACAACAACTAATAATTCACATCATACCTCAACACAACAATCACATCATCATCATCCACTCCATAATGCACATCATCACGGTACACCACCACTTTATTTTTCATCAACCCCAAAGCAATATTTCCATAATGATGCTCCAGCAAGTCCATCAACACTTCAACCAGATTTTGTACAGCAACCACACACCCCACCAACATCGATTCATGGTACCAGTAGTATGTTTCATAGTTCCCATTTCCCAACTAGTCCAATTCAAGATATAAAGTTGTACCATTCACCAATGTTACCATTCCCATCACCAATGACTGAAATCAATGAGGGCCACTTAACTCCTTCAATTCACACTGCACCAGATTCACCACAAATTTCTTTCTCTAGTGGTAAAGTTTATTTAAGATACAAACAACAACAACATCAACAACAACAACAACAACAATCAAATGATGACCATGTAAATAATAACCTTTCTGAACCATCACCAATGAGCTATTTCCCACCATCTCCAATGATATCATCTAAAGTTTCATCTCATCCATCAACACCCTCAACATCAAAACCATTTAGAATGTTTGATAAGTCACCATCTAGTCCATCCAATAATTTTGGTTCTGATAAGTTGCCATCAAGTTTAGACTTTGATTATAATAATACATCATCGAATACACCGAATATTATGAATCAAAATCCAACTCAATTCTCCTCAATTTTAAAACAACAAAAACAACAACAAAAAGATCAAGAAAAAGAACAACAAGAGCAAAAAGAAAGATTTGAAGTTGATGAAGTTGAACAAAAGAAACAAGAAGAAAAAGATCTTAAAGAAAAACAAGAAAAAGAAAAACAAGAAAAAGAGAAACAAGAAAAAGAAAAGCAAGAAAAAGAACAAAAGGAAAAAGAACAAAAAGAAAAAGAAGAACAAGAAGAGAAAGAAAGAAAGAGAAAAGAAGAAGAGGCTGCTGCTGAACCAGAAAAACAAAAGCAATATTATACTTTACCACCAGTAGAACCAAAATTAAAAGCAACCAAGAAATTACCAACCGGTTTTATTGCAGAAGAGGATGGTTCAATCAGATTTGGCGAAGATGACGATGATTACTATGATGAAGACGAAGAAGATAATGAAGATAGAGAAATGGAAGAGGATGATGATCAATTGGGTTTAAATATTCACCATCATCACGAAATTGAAAATGTTTAAATAGTATATATAACAATTTAAAAATTTAATAAATATTTATATAAAAAAAAAAAAAAAGTGTAAAATAATAACTTTTTTTTTTTTTTTTTGCTTATAACAAATTCAAAGTGTCTTTTTATTTATTTATTATTTGTATTTGTATTAAAATTTTTAAAACTTATTAATAACCTCAAATAAAAAAAATTAAATCATTTTATAGTTTTTATAATTTTATAATTTTATGATTTTATTATTTTATAAATACTTTATTTTTTTTATTTATTTTTATTTTTTCTAATTTCTTCAATCATTTTCATTTTATTCCATTTATCAATTGTAATACAATTATCACCAAAAGATAAAGCTAAAAGTCTTGCTAGAGTTAACCAACAATGAAAGATATCCTGTGTCATATTTTGATCTGATTGTCTTGTTTTAACAAAGTCATCTTGAATTAATTTTGTGGCATCGCTATTTTCATCTTGGTCACTTAATAATTTAAAGTTTAGATTCTTACAATAATAAATATAGTTTCTAAAAGATAATAGTTTCTCTTGGTCAAAACTAAGGTTCCTTAAATCGTTTAGTGATGGTAAGGTTACAGAGCTATCGATTGAAACTTCACAAAAACCTTTAATTAATGGTTTTCCATATGATATTGTTGATAATAGGATATCAGTTTGTATTTCGATTGGATGGTATTGGAAATCATATTCTACTTTTTGAAGAGTCGATAATGTTGTAAATGCATTTAATGCTTTTAATCCTTGACTTTCGATTTTGCCTTCAGATAATTTGGTTTCGTCGATAATAAGATGAGTGTTCTTTGGTAATTGTAACAAGCCAGAGACTAATCTGTTTCTATCATAATCTTTGAATGGAATAATTGAAGAATCATTTAAACTTTCAATGGTTACTTGGAATCTATGGGAACGACTTGTAAGTTTACTAAATAATAATTCGATAATATCTGCCATATGACTGAAGTTTTCTTTATTTGGGATAGTAATATTAAGTGAAAAATTACCAATACATAATCCTGCTGAAAATGAATAAACTTTAGATAAAATATGTAATAATAAATATTCTGATAGATTCTTATCGATTACAAATTTTGAAATAAAAGTTAATAACTCTTCTCTTAATTTTTCAATTTCATTTTTTGATAAATTATTATTATTATTATTATTATTATTATTATTATAATTATTATTATTATATGGATTATTGGTAATTGTTGGGTTTGTATATGGATTTATATATCTATAAGTTATTGAATGAAATTGTGGAATTAATGAATCTGGTATTTGACTAAGTTCATCTTCAAGCTCTAAAGTTGACATTAAATTTGCAATAGGTTGGTCTGGTTCGAAATCTTTATTGTTTTTATTATTATTTGGATTAAATTTTGAAACTATACCAATAAATTCTACAAGTTCATTTATTTTAAATGGAATTGGTTCACCTTTATCATCTAATAGAATATTTTCATCATAAACATTTACAATGAAGGGTGTTTTATTATTTTTATTATTATTTTCTTCAATTGGAATTGGGAAATTATAAATTTTATTTATATCAATATTTTTGATTTTGTTACTATTATTACCATTATTACCATTATTATTACTATTATTATCACTATTATTATTATTATTTATTGTTTTTTTATTTTTATTTTCAATATCTTCATTATTTAAATCCTCAAATGCCCTTTTTTTATTTTTATTGCTATTGTTGTTATTATTATCATTGTTATTATCATTATTATTAGACCAATTATTATCGCATGGTATTGGTATACAATATAATACTAGCTTATCAAATGGTTGTGAGTTAAAATTAGAATCTACTTCTTCATCATCCTTTAAATTAATATAGTCTTTATATTTTGATGATTCGTATCTCTATAAAATAAAATATAAAAAATTAATAAAAATTGGTTTTTTTTTTTTTTTTTGATTATTTCTTACAATTTGGTTTGTTTGTAAATTTTTTATTTTATAGTAGGAAGGACAAAACTGTGGATCGAAAATATCTTGAATCATACATCTGATTTTGACCAATTTGCAATTTGAAAGATCGCATTGATTAATTGTATCTATTTGGGGAATTGATAGATAGGTTTCATCATTTGAAATGATTTGTTCAAATTTTTTATGAATTGAACCATTTTCTAAATTATTTTTATTTTCGTTAAATAATTTGTCTATAATTTCTATTGGATTGTTTAGTATATTGTTTTTTATTTCATTTTGATCCATTATCAAAATTACAACTTTGGGATAATGAAATTTAAATAGGTAGTTAACTAACTAAAAAAAAAAAAATTAAAAAAACACCCAATCGTGTGTCATTTTTGAAAAAAAAAAAAATTTTATAAATTTTAAAAAAAAAAAAAAAAAAAAAAATTAAAAATAATTATTTTTTTTTAAAAATTTTTTTTTTTCTTTATAAATAATTTTTTTCTGTTATTTATATATATAAAATTATTTTATTTATTGTTTAATTTAAATAATTTTTTTGATAGTATAAAATGAAAGTTTTAACTTTACAAGAAGAGTTTAAATTATCAGTAGAAACATTTTTTACATTCTTTTTCGAAAGTTCAAATTTCAAGCAAAAGTATCATTCATCAAGAGGCGATAATCAAATCGAAATTAAACCATGGTCACCAAGTACCGAAGGTAGATATAGTAGAGAGGTAACTTTTCTTTCTTTCATTTCAAACAACCCAGTCATTAGTGGTTTAGTTGGTAATTCTGCAAAAGTAAGAGAGGTACAATATTATAAATATAATGGGTAAATAAATCAAGTTTTAAATAGAAAATATGTAATATATATATATATAACTTAATATATTAACCATTATATTTTAAAAAAAAAAAATAGTGATACATTAAATGTTATTGCAGAAACTTATTTTGATGGATCACCAATTGGTAAAAACTTTTCGTCAGTATCAGAATGGAATGTATCACCAATTATAGCACCATTACCAGGTTGTAAAATTGTCATCGAAGTTAGAAATAATTATAATGGTTACATGTTCAAAGATAAATTAGAAAATTGGGTACATGGTGCCACTGAAGAATCTTTTAAAAAATGGTTATCATTAGTTAGACAACAAGTTGAAGAATATGAAAAGAATGAAGAATTAAAAAGAATTACTCCAACTCCAGTTAAAAAACAAAAGAAGAAAACTTTATCAAATAAATACGATGATGATGACGAAGAAGACGATAATTTAGAAAATAGTGATGATGAAGATAAACAACAACAACAAGAACATATTGTCGATGAAAATCAAAAATCAAATATAATTAAACATCAACAACAACAACAACAACAACAACAACAACAACAACAACAACAAAAACAAAAACAACAACCACAACAACAAATAATAATTAATAATAATATAAATATAAATAATAATGGCGATGAAGATTTTAGTGATTCCGAATTATCAGATATTTCACGTAAAGCCCCATCACATATCGATTTCGATGATGAAGACGAGGATGGTGGAGAAGACAATAGTGTTGGTTATAGTGATAATGAAGTTGATGAAGAAAGTACCAGTACTAGATATTATGATTCAAATGATGTATTTTATTCATCAGAGAATGATAGCAATGTTAAAAACTTTATGGAAAATATTAATAATGATATTTCAAATCTCAAAAGTATTATTGAAACTAATCATAATCGTCTTTTTGGACTCGAAGAATCATTTAACCAAATTCAAAGATCAAACAGCTCTATTACATCCAATACTCCCACTAGATCAATTACATTGTCAGGTGCAACTACAAGTGTGGATACAGGCTATTTGACCAAATTAGAAGAGATTGTAAAACATGTTCAAGAAGAAGAGATTAAAACAAGAGAAAAACAAAAAGAATGGATCGAAAAGATTAATGAACTCGAAAAGAAATTAAACTCTATCGGAAATGCTCAAAATCGTTCAATCCTTTGGCTCAATATTTTAGCTTTAGTATTTTTCTTAATTGGTTGGCCAATCGTTGCTAAAAAGCTTTGGAAAACTTTATATCCATTTTTAGTTGCATTGATATCAAAAAAATAATAATTTAAATAAAATAAAAAAACTAAATAAAATAATAAATATATTAGATTATAAAATAAATTAAAAATTAAATAATATTAATATTAAATAATTAATAATTTAATAATAATAATAATTATAATAATAATAATAATAATAAACAAATAATAGTAATAAATAGTTTTTTTAATTAAAATATAAATTAAATTTAAATATTTTTTTTATGCACCATCTTTTTCATTTTGTTTAAAAAAAAGTTTTATATTTATTTATTATAGATTATTTAAAATATTATTTATTATTATTTTTCTTTTATATAAAAATTTTGAAAAAATTAATTTTATAGATATATATCATCATAAAAAAAAAATAGATAAAATTTTTTTTACCCATTTGATTTATTTATTTTTTTACAATGGGTAATGAGTTTTTTTATTTTTATTAATTATAATAATATCGGTGAATTCATTATTAATTAAAATTCAAAAGATATAACTATATAGTAATATACCCAGTATCATTGTTTATTTATCTTTATAAATATTTTTTTTTTTTTTTTTTTTTTTTTTTTTTTTTTTTTTTTTTTTTTTCAAATATATAAATTATAAAACAATAAGAATTGTTATTTTATAATTTTTAATTTATATATTTTAAATAGTTAGAAAAATGGGCGCTTTAAGTAATATTTTAATTTTTAAACTTTAGTTTATATTTTTTATAAAACTAATTTTTTTTTTTCTTTAGATACCATTGTTTTATTGATTATTGCATTCTTTATTTCACCATTAGCAGTTTTCTTAAAAGTAGGATGTGGTACCTCCTTCTGGATTAATGTCATTTTATATATTTTAGGTGTAATCCCAGGGTAAGTAAAAAAAATAATAATAAAAATAAAATTATTTTACTTATATTTTTTTTTAATCAGTATCATCCATGCTTTCTACATTATTCTTACTCGTTAATAAAGTAGATTATAGTTTTTTTTAATTTTAAATAAAAAAATATTTATAAAAAATATTGGAATTACTATTTTTTTACAAAATTATAAATAACCAAAAAAATTTTTTAAATAAATTTAAATTTAAATTTTGATAATCTTTGTAAAAATTTATTTACTTGATTAATTATTTATAATTATTTTAAAAATATTCCCCCTCACTTTGATTTTTTTAAAAAAAAAAAAGTTATATTTTACTATTAAAATGATTATATTTATAAAAGTAATTTATTTTTTAAAACTAAAAAAAAATTTTTTTTTTTTTTTTTCAAAGAAGATTTTTTGATATCTTTTTTAAAAATAAATAAAAAAAAATTTTTAAAATTTTTAATTTTTTTTTACCAAACCGTTTTGTAAAATTTTTTTTTTATTTTTATTTTTTTTCTTTCATCAATAAACAATGCAAAACAATAGCCCTAACCTAAATAAGGTTGATTCTCCACCACCACAACAACCGGGTCAATATCCCCCACAACAGCCAGGTCAATATCCTCCACAACAACCAGGTCAATATCCTCCACAGCAACCGGGTCAATATCCCCCACAACAACCAGGTCAATATCCCCCACAACAACCTGGTCAATATCCCCCACAACAATACCAACAATATCCACCACAACAACCAGGCCAATATCCACCACAACAATACCCTCCACAACAATACCCTCCACAACCATATCCACCACAACAATACCAACAATATCCACCACAACCAGCTTTTGGTGCCCCATTAGTCACAAGCCCAACTAGTTCAAATGTTGCATTAATTAATCCATCTTTAAATTCTCAAATTGTTAATGGTAAAATTACATCTCCAGGCTCAACATTCTATACAACTGGAACAAACAAAGGTACATTTAAATTAAGAATCATTTGTGCTAATAAGCTTGTTAGTGCTGATGCTAATGGTAAAAGTGATCCATATGTAAGTAAAGTTTAAACTTTATAATCTCATTAAACCATTATAGATATTAATTATTTTGTTTAGGTAAAAGTAAAATCACATTGCATAGAGTCTTTTAAAGCTACACAAGTTATTGACAAAAATTTAAATCCAGTTTGGGAATCAACTCACACACTTACAATGGATGATGTAACAAAGGATTTGTTAATTTTAGACGTCTATGATCACGATTTGGTAATTATTATTAAATTTAATGACTAATTTATTTTATATGTATATTAATTTATTTAAATTATATAGATTGGTAATGATGACTTATTAGGTTTTGTTGCGATAGATTTAAGCTTATTACCATTAAATGTAGAAGTTATTACTACAGAAAACTTATCGTTTGCCAAACATGGTACCATTCAAATTGGTATTACATGTCTCGATTTTGGTTTAACAAACATATCACCAAACTACATTCCTCAATATATTTCATGGAGATTATCACTTGAAGGAAGAGAGAAAAAAGAATTTAAAAAATTAAAAAAATCTAAAGAAACAGGTGCCTATTTAAACAAAAAGGTCCACAGCGATTACAAATTAGTTAATGGTTTTGTAAAAAGAAAAAAGAACAAGAGAGATAAAACCAAAAGTGTTTTAGGAAAGGGTGCTAAATCAATTGGCAGTTTTATTTTAGATGTTGCAACAAGTGATGATTAAAAAAAACTATATCTTATTTATACAATTAAATATGCAATAAATAATGTTTTATTAATTTTAAATAAAGATTTATTATTTTATTTTATTTTTTGGGTATCTAAAATTACAATACTCTTTTATTTAGTATAATACATTTATTTTACTTATTTTATTATGTGGTAATCTATGCTGAAGCAATTAACATTATTGGAAGCAATAGAGTATAGGCTACAGTATATCCAACTACTTTTAATGTCTTTTTTCCAATATCTCCTGCAACTTCACCTTTTGTTCTTCTTCTTTTGATGTAACCATAATAAAATTTATAATCTAAAGAGTATGTAATTTTACCATAGTATGGACCTGAATCTTTCTTTGAATTCTTTGCTGATTTTTTAATCTCTTTAAAATTTTTTCTTGTAATGCCTTTTATGTCCTTTCTCCAAGTGCAATATGTAGGGATATATGATAATGGGATATTAGTAACACCAAAATCTAAAGCTTTAAGTTCAATTTCTATGGTCCCATGTTTGGCATACGAAAGTTTTTCTATAGTAGTTACTGATGTACCCTAATTATATAAATATTTATATTAATACCAATCTCTAATTATTTATAAAATATAATTAATGAAACTTACAAATGGTAATAAACTTAAATCTACACTAGTATAACCTAAAAAGTCATCATCCTATTTTTTATTAAAGAAATAAAAAATATTAATATAAAACATAAAAAAAAAAAGTAAAAAAAAAATAAATACATACACCTATTAAATCCTCGTCATAAACTTCAAATATAAGACAATCTTTTGCAGGATTTTCAATTTCAATAATTAATGTTTCGTCCCAAACTGGATTTAAATTCTTTTGAATAACCCTAGTTGCTTTTAAATTTATACAGTCTGATTTAATCTTTACATATGGGTCACTCTTACCATTTACATCAGCTCTATATAAAATTTACAAAATGAATAAGTGTTATAACATTCAAAATTATTAACTTTGAAAACTTACGCCATTAGATTTTGTGCAGAAATAATCCTAACTTGTAATTTATGACCTTGAATGAATGCAACTCCCTCTGGTGGCACCAATCTGAAATTATCATCAATAGTTGGGGGAGGACCATTTAAATTAAAAGATGCACTTGATCCAATATTTTGAACATATTGTATAACTGGTTGGTTAACAGCAACAACTTGAGAAGCATACTCTGTTGGCATACCTAAAGGTGGAGGAATATTCAATTGAGAAAGTTGTGGGGATAGAGGACCATCATCTATTTTTGAAAGCTGTGGAGATAAGGGACCTTCATCTATTTTTGAAAGTTGTGGTGGTAATGGTGATGTGTTATTTCCATATGGACTAAATTGCTGTTGTGAAAACTGACCGTATTGGCTTGGTTGTTGTTGTGGTGGTGGATAATATTGCTGATACTGGCCATATTGTCCTGATTGTGATGGTAGTGGGTATTGACCATACTGGCCATATTGACCATATGGGATTTGTTGTTGTGGATATTGATTGTATTGACCTGGTTGCTGTATTTCTTGTTGTGGTGGATATGAATAATATTGACCTGGTTGTTGCTGTTGTGGTGGTTGGTTATATGACAATGATGGTGAGGATGGTGCAGTGGGTGTACTAGAACCACTATTCGAAAAAATAGGTGAAGAAGATCCTGCAGATTGTGAAAGTGGGCCTCTTGGAGGAGGAGTTGGTGGAGTTTTTTTTTCATAAGTCATTTTATTATCTGTTTGAAATATAATTTAAAAATATATAAACAAAAATTAAATGGAATTAAAAAAAAAAAAATATTTAAATAAAAAAAAAATAAACCTAAAACCTAAAAATTTAAAAAATAACAATTAAAATAAAAAAAAATAATTTAAAAAACCAAAAAATCAAAAAATCAAAAAATCATTTGCACCATTTTATGTCAACTAATCGTGTTATGGAAGGTTTTTATTACATAAGAACCATCATGATATTGTTACCAAAATTAAAAAAAATATCCATTATTGCAATCAAATCTGATTTGTTATACAGAAAAAAAAAAGATATTTTCTTGGATTTATTTATTTGAATAATATAAAAAAAGATATTTTCTTGAATTTATTTATTTGTATACTTGTAAAAAAAAAAAAAAAAATTAGTATAAAATGATCTAAATTACTTTTGTTTATTATTATAACTATTTATTTTAATAGTATCACAAACTTCTTACTTTTTTAATTATATATTTTAAACTATCATAACCTTTTTCAACTAAATAATCTATATGTTCTTGATCACATTCGTGTCTATGCCCTTCGAAATGCTCTCTTGTAAAAACCCAATAGTAGTTTTGAGTTTGTTTGGGTAGTTTTCTATTAATTGATCTAAGAATGTCTCTATATAGCTTTAAAGAAGATGGATTTGACATTTCTTTTATTGAATTTAAATTTAGTGGTGATTTTATTAACTAATTTCTATTTTTTATTATTATTATTATTATTATTATTATTATTATTATTATTATTATTATTATTATTATTATTATTTTTATAATTATTTATATGAATATTTAAATATTGATTATAATAATGATTTTGATTAAAAATAACAATATAAATTTGGTGAGATGTCCAGAGATTTAAATATTTTTAAGCATTCTATTTATGTTTGCAATATATAATCAAAAAATAAAATTTTAATTTGAAAAAAATTTAAAAAAAAATAAAAAAAAAAAATAAAAAACAACCAAATTTAATTTTTTTTTTTAAAACAAAATCAAAACAACAGTTTTTTCTATATCTCATTCTCAAGATTAAAAATAAATTACAAAAATAAATATTGGTTTTTATTAGCAAAAAAAAAAAAAAAAAGATGTTGTTTAAAATTTTAATATTTTTTTTTTCATTATTAATTTATCAAATAACATAAAAACTCACAAAGAAAAATTATTTATTTATATAAATCAGTATTACAATAGTATTTAAAATGGAAGATTTTGACTTTGATTTTGACTTTGATTTTGAACAAGATTTATTAACTGTGGATGTTCACAACAATTTTTATTGCTCTACAGTACCAACAACAAAAAACAATCATTCATATAACAATTATAATAGTGATCATCAAGTTTTATCTGTAGTTTCACCCATTGCAGCATATAATTTAAATCCAAACAATAAAAAATTAAATCATAATATAAATGAAAATAATAGTATAGACAATACAGATAATTACAATAATAGTGATAAAAAAAATAATAATAAAAACAATATTGAAGATTGCGATATAAATGATTGTAATAAAATATTTGAATGTAAGGATAATAATCCAGAGAACTATAACATAAAAACAACAACAATTTATACAAATAATAATAATAATAATAATAATAATAATAATAATAATAATAATAATAATAATAATAATAATAATAACCCTTATTATTTACCATATTATTTTTATCCAACACCAATTATTTTACAAAATGAAATGTTACATCCACAATTATTACAACCACAACAATATTTAAATTCTAACAGAATTAAAATACAGTGCGAAATTTACGGTTTGTGTAGATTATTAACATCTATACCAAAAGATATTAAAATATTTTTTATTTATGAAAGTAGGCATAAAAAATATAATTTATAAAAAAAATAAAAAAAAAATATTTACCCCTTTTTTTTTTTTTTAGTTCTTGAAAAAGAATTTAAATATAACTATAACCTAAATATGAAAATTTTGTACATTAACAATAATCTTCATGTGCAAATATCACCGGATCTTTTGGTGGAAGAAGCAATTAAACCATTCCAACAAATATATCTTTTTGTAAGGTTCCAAGATGTTTGAATAAAATATAAAAAAATAAAATAAAAATAATTAAAAAAAAAAAATTAAAAAAAAATATTTATACATAAAATAAAATAAAACTTTACATTATAAATGTAAAAAGAAAATTTTAAATAGTAAAAAAAAAAAAAAAAAAGTTTATATAATTTGTTTTTTTGTTGACATCCAAATGTTTTTTGTTGTTAAAATAAATAAAATTTTCTTTTTTTTTCTCTTTTTCTTTTTCTTTTTTTCTTAATATTTGTTTAAAGGTTATTATTGAGTTATTTATAAAAGAATAAAACTGGCTTTATTGTTTGGTGATGGTAATTAATTGCATATACTAAAATTTAAAATTAAATGTTTGTGAATGTTATATAAATTTTGAAAGGAAGTTTTTATAAATTTGAATATCAGATTTACTTGTTGGAATTAAATGGCCATGTTCGTGGACGTATGTTTCTGGATTTAAAAATTGTTGTGATAAAGCTTCACAATTTGCAGAGGCGACCAATTCATCAGCTTTACCCCAAACCTGAAGTGATGGTGTAGTAATTTTATTTAGAGGATAGTGTTGAGTAGGTATTATTGAGGATGCTGATGATGATGATGGTGGTGGAGTATTTGGTGAACTTAATGATGAGGATGATGATAATGATAGTGATGTATTGTTGGATGATGATGATGTTTCATTGGCAGTAGATGATTCTAAATTTTGATGATTACTTTCACATCCAGTTGAATTACAAGTACAACTATTTACAACTAAATCTTGTAATAGTAAAGGGTTGTATGGATAAAGGGGTTGATGAATAGTTGCTCTACTTTGGAAACCACTAAATAACAATGCAAATTTTAATTTGAAGAAATTATAATTGGTTTGTTTATAATAATCTGAAAGGTTTGAACTTGGTTCTGCATTTAATGATGATAATGAACAAAGTAAACTTGCTAAAACTGCACCTTGGGAAAATCCTAAAACACCATCAAAAGGTCCTTGCTTTTCAAAAACTGAACGAAGATATTCTAATGTTTGTTCCCACCCTCTATATTCTTTTCCATCCTTGGATGCCCTCCACCATGATGCTGATCCTTTTGTTTCGTCAACAATATGTGGTGCATCAACATAAACTATATAAACAAATGGAATTTATAATGTGTATTAATAAAAATAATAAATTAAACTAGTGTAAATTTTTATCTTTTTATTAACTTACCCAATTCTGCAATATCTTTAATCGATTTTCTATTTTTTTTTTTATTTAAAAAAAATAATTTTAAAAATTAGAATTTTTAATAATTAAATATAAAAATTATCATATTAAAAAAAAAACTATTATTTATATTTGTTTTTAAATGATTATTTATATATAAAAAAAGATAATTATTTAATTTATTCTTTTAATTAAAAGTTTAATACCTTAAAACTGCTGTCTTTGATTTAAATAAACTTGAATTTTGTTTGAAACCGTGAAGGCATAAAATTTTTAATTTCTTTGATTCTAATGGATTCATTTTATTGATATTGCTACTACTGATGTTATGTTAAGAAACCTGTTTTTTTTAAATAAAATAAAAAAAAAAAAATTTCGGTATTTACCAAAATTTTAAAAATTTAATATTTTATATTTTTTTATTTTTTTATTTTTCTTTATAAAAACTATAATAAAATATTATTAAAAAATTTATATTATATTGAAAAAAAAATTAAAAAAAAAAAAATTAAAAGTTAATTATCTTTGATTTCTTACAAAATTAAAAAAAAAAAAAAAAAAAATTTAAATTAAAAAATAAACAATTTAAAATTTTTATAAAATTATAAAAAAATAAAAAAATAAAAAAAAAATAGAATAATTTTTAAAAAATCAAATACACATC